GATATTTCTAACAATTGTGAAATATAAATTGTCCCTATAATTTAAGGATAATTGCAGGAGATGCCAGCTGGCACCCCAGGGAGCCGCACTGTTCCCAGGAGAACTTGGAAAGGTTCTTGAAAGTTCTCCAAACAGGAAAAGAGGAAGGCGTTTTGGAAAATGAGGGAGGCAGGGGTCAAGCACGAGGCTGGAATCTAAATTTCAAGGTTCACAGACTCCGGGAGCTCGCCCAGCAGAGGGAGGAGGGCTGGCGGGAGAGCCGCCGAGGGGGGCCGTCCCCACACCTCGGGCAGCCTGCACAGGGGAGGCCCCAGGAGCAGGACTGAGTGGTGAGTTAATAAGGAATCAGCCTGGTGGGGGAGTAAGAACAAACAGGTGTAAAAAGATAGGAAAGTTTCAGAAGCAGGCAGAAGGGCCTGTGGGGCGAGGCCTGCGTGGAGGGGTCTCGTGGGCGTGGACTGAGGGCCGCCGGAGCAGGAGCGGGCCGGGATCTGCACGCCGGGCTCCCCGTGGCCGTGGCATCCTGGGAAGGCATTTTGACAACACCTATCCTTTGGCTCCTGCAACGCTGCAGGTAGGAATTTATCGCATAAAAATACTTGCTAGGTACAACTCAATAGAGAAAGGTAGACCATCTGATGTAAAAATAGGCAGAGGATCTGAATAGACAGTTTTCCGCAGGAGACGAGCAGCTGGCCGACAGGCACGCAACAAGATGCTCAATGCGGCTGAGCATCAGGGAAATGTGAATCAAAACCACGAGGTGCCACCTCACACCTGCTAGAACAGCTGCTCTCAAAGAGACGAGAGATAGCAAATGTTGGTGAAGATGTGCAGAAAGGGGACCCTTGTGCACTGCTGGTGGGAGTGTAAATTAGTACAGCCGCTATGGAAAACAGTACGGAGCTTCCTCAAAAAATTAGAAATGGAGCTACTGTATGACCCAGCAATCCCACTTCTGGGCATAAACACAGAAGAACTGAAAGCAGAGGTCGGAGCAGATTCTTGTGCACCCACGTCCACAGCAGCGCTGTTCACGATAACCAAAAAGTGGGGGCAACCCAGGTGTCCACTGACAGATGAACGGATGAACAAAACGTGGTCCATCCACACAGTGGAATGTTACTCAGCCTCAAAAAGGAAGGAAATCCTGACACCTGCTACAACGTGAGTGAACTTTGAGGGTGTTATGTTCAGGGAAATAAGCCAGTCACAGGAGGACAAATACTGTTTGATTCCACTTATGTGAGGTCTCCCTAGGGGAGTCAGAGACAGAAAATGGACTAGTGGGCACCAGCAGCTGGCGGTAGGGGAGTGAGGAGTTAGTGTTTAATGGGGATAGAGTTTCAGCTCTGCAAGGTGAGTTACGGGGGTGGAGGGTGGTGATGGCTGCACAACAATACGAATGTACTTACTGCTACTGACCTGTACGCTTGAAAATGTTAAAATGTCCAGATGGCCAACAGGCATATGAAAAGATGCTCAATTTCACTAATTATTAGATAAACGCGAATCAAAACTGCCATGAGGTATCGCCTCACACCAGTCAGAATGACCATCATTAAAAAGTCTACAAATAATAAAGGCTGGAGAGGCTGTGGAGAACAGGGAGCCCTCCTGCACTGCTGGTGGGAATGCAGTTTGGTGCAGCCGCTGTGGAGGACAGTGCGGAGATTCCTTAAAAAACTAAAAATAGAGTTACCCTGTGATCCAGCAATCCCACTCCTGGGCATGTGCCAGGAGAAGACTGTAATTTGAAAAGACACCTGCACCCCAGTGTTCATAGCAGCACATTATACAAGAGGCAAGACATGGAAGCCTCCTGATGTCCCTCAGCAGACGACTGGATAAAGAAGGTGCAGTGCATTTGCACACAACGGAGCACTACTGAGACATAAAAAGGAATGAAACAGTGCCATTCGCAGCAATGTGGATGGAGCTAGAAGTTATTATACTAAGTGGAGTAAGTCAGACAGAGAAAGACAAATATCATATGATGGCACTTGTATGTGGAATCTAAAAAAAGATACAAATTTTATTTATATATCAGAAATAGACTCATGGACATAGAAAACAAACTGGTTACTGGGGGAAAGGGGGAGGGGAGGGGAGGGATAAGTTAGGAGTCTGGGATTAACAGATACACACTACTACACGTAAAACAGATAAACAACAAGGACCTACTATATAGCACAGGGAACTACATCCAATTGCTTGCAATGAGCTGTAACGGAAAAGAATCTGAAAAATGCACATATGTAATTATACGTATAAGTGGATCACACTGCCGTACACCTGAAACTTACACTGTAAACTGACTACACTTCAATAAAAAATAAGGATAAAAAGAGAAAATGGTTAAAATGGTAGATTTTAAGATATACGTATTTTACTATACTTAACAAATTGTGGAAACACAAAGAACTGAAAATACCCAAAACAATTTATAAAAAGAATAACACAGTTGAAAGATTTATGGTTCCAGATTTTAAGACTTCCCAGTGCCCAGGACAGTCTGCTGAGATGTGGGCAGACTCCACTCATCCAGGGACAGAACACAGACTCTGGGTGCAGACACACACGTTTGAGGGCAACTGATTTCCGAGAAAGATGCCCAAACCGCTCAGTCATGACGGGACAGCGTTTTCCACCGGCTGTGCTGAGACCCGGGAGATCCGTGTGGAAAGACGTCCTTGGGGGCCCATCCCCACCGCGTGAGCCACTGAGCATAACACACCCATGTTTCCTCTGCTGTGAAGCTGTCTTTCCCTGAAGCTGCTGACTTCCTCTGATTTTCAAAACGCGTGTGAGCATGAGCAAGGGCCGCCAGGGGTGCCCGCAGCACGGGGAGAGAGAAGCCCGTGCACCCGCCCCATCCACCTCACACGGAACAGGAGGACGGTGGGGCTGCACTCCCACAACACAGGCTGCAAAGCCAAGGCGCCCTGGAGGCCGAGCACCAAGGCCGCAGCCTGGAAGTGGGCGGGAGAGACAAGACCAAGGGTGGTTCTTGGATGCAGACCATGCCGTGCGCGCTCACTGGGCTGGGCACAAAGGGGTCACCGGGGAAGAGTAGCGGCTCCCAGGGTCTCCACGAGGGCCTGAAGCCCAGGCCCAGGGGTCCCTGCGCCAGGAACTGCCACCTGCCCCACCCCTGGTCGGGCCCTGCATTCTCACCGGCTCTCTGCTCCCTCCACACAGGTGGGTTTCGCCCATCCGCCCAGTGTACCTGCTGCCTCCGCATCCCCTGGGCTGACTGCATGACTGCGTTACCCCCGTGGACAGACAGGCTCTGCTGGGTGGTGAGACACGAGGTCCCTGAAGACAAAGGTGGTGCAGGCAGGGAGCTGAGGTGGCCTCTCAGGAAGGAGAGGATGGCGAGTCAAAGCCAACAGGGGACAGTGCCGGGCGGACGGGCTGCCTGTCCGCAGGCCGGTGATTTGCCCCAGGAAGAGCCTCACGTGGATGATGGCAGCTGCAGAGGGCGCCCTCACTGGGCGGAGCTGATGGGAGTCACGCTGTCTTCCAAGACCGCCCGTCTTGCAGAAGCCAACCAAGATGTGTCGGGGCCCCCACTCCCGTTTTCAAGGCTTGTCTTTGGGAAGGTAAGGTGGTTCTGGGGCCATTCGGGGGACTGGGCCAGTTCCATGGTCCCGTAGACATTCAGGACCTGGGTGGGTGACCTCAGGATGGTGCGGGTCCCCCCAGCCCACCCAAGGTGGATGCAGTGGGACTGCTCCCAGCACCCTCTGCCACAAGCCCCCCTCGGGGTGAGACCCCCGAGGCACCCGGAGTCCTGGAGGGGACTCTGGACTCAGCCAGTGCCTGGAGGTCTGGGTAACCCTCCCACCCCTGCCCTCCATCCCCCTCTGTAAAGCACCAGAGTCCTAACTGATAACCATTCACCTACTTTGTCTGCAGTCGGGCTCCAGCCCCCTGTCAACCTCTGATTTACGTGACTGTGTCCCCTGTGGAGAACACAGTAGGTGGTCAGTAGGACAGCTGTGAGGTGAAGGGAGAAGGGGTATCTTCTGCGCCCCTGGGGTCACAGTCCTGGGATGCGGAAAGCGCAGCGAGGTGCACCGCCCTCCGCACACGCCGAGTCTCCGTAAGGCAGCTTCTCAAACCGTGATCGGTGCCCCCTCCTCCGAGGGTCCCTGTGGCCAAACTCTTCGGTGACAATAAGGAGAAGAATTCATGTGCAGCTTCAGTGTTTGGCACTTGCCATGGTGAGTCTCCGGCACGGATCAGGGCAGGTACCAGATGCTGGCGGTGGCGGCAGAAAGTGCTAGTTTCACTTGAGCGTCCCCGATGGGCAGTAAAAATAGTTGATGTTCTAAAATCTTGAATCCACAACTTTAGAAAACTCTGTGAGGCAGGATGGCGAGTGCGCCGGAGCCCTGCCACCTCGGCCTCGTGCACAGGCGTGGGGCCGCCGGCCCAGCTGTGTGGTTCCGTCTAACGGAGCGGCTTTCTGTGGGAAAGAAGGACTGACAGAAACTGATTATTCAGACTTGGGAACCTGGCAGACATTTTCTTGAAAACGCCCAAAGTGAGCCTGTCCCATCATGGAAAACCCACAGCGTAAGATCAACGATAAAATTCAAGCTTTTGCGCGAAATTTAGAGGCTTTTTAATTGAAGTATAGTTGATTTACAACGTTACGTGTTTCTGGTGTGCAGCAGAGTGATTCAGTTACACACACACACACATATATGTATTCTTTTTCAGATTCTTTTTCATTATAGCTTATTACAAGCTACTGAACACAGTTCCCTGTGTCATACAGTAGACACTTGTTGTTTATCTGTTTTATACATAGTAGTTTGTATCTGCTAATCCCAAACTCCTAATTCATCCTCCTCCTCTCGTTCCCGTTGGGTGACCATAAGTTTGTTTTCTGTCTGTGAGTCTCTGTTTTGTAAAGAAGTTCATTTGTATCTTTTTTTTAGATTCTACAAATCAGTGATACCATATGTTATTTGTCTTTCTCTTTCTGGCTGACTTCACTTAGGTCTTCAGGTCCATCCATGTGGCTGCAAGAGGCATTATTTCCTTCTTTTTATGGCTGAGTGGTGTTCCATCGTGTATATAGACCACAAATGCTTTATCCAGTCCTCTGTCAGTGGACATTAAGGTTGTTCCCATGTCTTGGCTATTGTAAATCGTGCTGCTGTGAACACTGAGGTGCTTGTGTCTTTTCCAGTTGAGCGTTTTCTCCGAAGTTGGAATTTTGAAAAGCTTGTATCCACCACCATGAGTTTGCCAACTTACTGAACTAAAGACTTTTCCGATGAGGCTGACAGTGATATTCACAAAGGTGACGCCTGGACACTGTTCAATGACTGTGCTGACATTTAGAAGACCCGCAGGGCTTGGTGATCCGTTATTTTCCAAATGCCCAGTGTGTGATGTCACAAAAGCAAGCAGGGATAAAGACTTGTCCAAGGGCAGGACGGACTGACGGATTCCAATGAGACACAGAGTGAAAGTCCATTGATACGATTTCAGAGTCCACACGCAACCAGCCCGCAAGCGACCGCAGCGTGTCCAGCCTGGGTGTCGTCAGGAGGAAGGGCCACGGCGGCCCGCAGGTGTTATTAGAACCTTCCTTCTTTTCCAAACACACACGTCCGCGTGAGGCCGCGTTCCCACCGATTCTCACACTCCGGAACCGAGTCGCTCCCGCAGCGGGAGGAGCCCGCCGACCTCTCGCAAACAGAGAGTGAAGGAAATGGGACACAATGTCACCCTTCTTGCTAAAACTTCTCTTTTTGGAAGATATACATTTTCACGCAATTGTCATGCATGTTATCCTGTCATGGGTTTATGGTTATGCTGAAGTGGATAAATACTTCTAAAATCTCGGGTTTAACGTCTAAGAAGGCACTGTAAGAGCTACTGATACTGATAGAACCCAATGAAACAAAAGCTCTTTCACATCTACCGCAGTTTTTAAGAGGGTTGTAGGGGTCCCACGGCCCCCGTTTGAGAACCAGCCCTCGGGTGGCCCTGCTGAAGAGCGCAGGTTCCCTCAGCCTTGCGGGGTGACGCCCAGCTCCCCCCTCACGCCCCCACCAGCCGAGGCGAGACCTCCCCGCCTCGCAAGCAGGAAACGCCTGTTTTATCTTGTGGCCCCCAGGCCCCCCGGCGTCTTGGGGCTGAGCATGTCCCCCCACTTTCATCGGCCTCGGAACTTTGGCTCTGCTCCTTTTCCACACGAATTTTAAAATAATTTCATCCATTTCAAAACAAACAAAAAAGTGCAGGCTTATTGAGAATAGAATTGGAATTCTATCAGTGACATTTTGTTTTAGTTTATTCTGGACTTCCCAGAGTTAAGCCAAGTCTCTCCACCTGCTAAGGATTGTTTTAAAATTTTCAATAAAACTGAAAAGTTTTCTTCATATGGAGCCTTTGCCTTTCTGCTTAAATACTTCTCCATTCTCATATTTAACAGGTTTAAGGTGGTTTAAGAGCTTTTGATCTTCTGTATAATTTGGTTCTCTGAGCATACAAAAATATCTGAAAATTAAGGGTTTTTTAAATTAATTTCATCTCTTATCCTGTTTATTTTACTTGCCTTAATGCATTAGTGACAAATGTCAAAACCACATAAAAGAATGATGGTGAGAGCTGGCTCATTTGTCTGGCTCTTGATTTTAGGTTTCAGCCTTAAAGTGCCGTTCTGCTGCATCTTATCAACTGTTTTAGCGTTGGTGGAGATCGCCACTTCTTCCTCCGTAACAGATCAGTAACTACAGAAGAAAGTTAGAGGCACACTGTTCATGAGCAGCAGGAGTCCCAGCTGGGTCCCACTGGACCGTAAATGATGGAAGAGCAGGGAAGAGAAAACAGATCCCATCACCTCTAAACAAGATTGCAAAAATGCAAAATAACATATTGGAACTGTAACTCACAGTTTCTGAAATACTAATCCGCCACCACCCCGATTCTAGGAACGCACGCAATGTTGTTTACGGTGAAGATTCTGCAACACGACCCAGACCCTCCGTCTGCCACGTGCGGGGGGCTGCAGGTGGGACCACCCTGACGGGGCCGCAAGTGGCAGACCCTCTCAGGCCCAGCCGAGCAGGGCCTGTGTCAGTTAATCCAGTGAGTTCTCGTGCTGGTGTCTCGTCCAAGAGGCAGGTGGGCAGCTGAGCTGGAATCTCAGCAGGGCGAGCCTGGAGCTCAGGTCCCCGTCTGTGTGGGGACTGGTGGCCAGCTGCGCATAACCCTTTGCCGTGATGGCCCAGCGATGTCAGGTGGGCAGCAGATTTGGGGGGAATATTTATACATCAGGGTTCCCCTCTGCCCCAGAGCCTGCGACTCACTCACCAAACACACTGCTGCCTTTGGTCCCAAAGCAGGACGCTTTGTCCCAGGAGGTGGGCTCTGGGCAAATGCCCCTGGCCGCCCAGCTCTGCTCTCTGTGCACGGGGCGCCCAGCCTCTCCCTCCTGCAGGCAGGTCTCGGGCTGGCCTCCGCAGCCCCCGTGACCACAGGGGCTCCCAATTACTGCCAGCTGACTTCAGGGCCACTGGAGGTTCAGGTGAGCTGGTGACTGTCACACCAGGATGACTGTGGCAACCTCCTGACAGGGACCCTGCTTCCACTCCCCATCCTCCCCAAAAACCCGAGAGTCAGCCGGGCAAAGCCAGAGGGAGCTTTGCCCACCCGCCAAGCCCCCGGAGCCCCGTGGAGGGCCAGCGACTCGCTCATCCAGGGTGAATTCTACATTCCATGTAGAACAAAGAACAAAAGAGTGTTTCTGCTCCCCACCCCCTTATACAGGGTGGGCCTGTGGCCGTCGCTGACTATGCACCCTGAGAGGAATCAAGGCAGGGACAGGATGAAGCCCTCAGCCTCCAAACCAAGGCCGTGAGGACAACGGGTGTCCTGTGTTCTGGACAAACAGGCCCGTGGGCAGGTTGTTGTGTATCTCGGGAGAATTTTAATAAGCCCAGATTCTTCCCATACAGAGAAAAGCACCAAACCCAGGAGTCGAGGTGTCTGTTCTTGGTAACCAGCTGTAATCTTCTGTTGGGACGTGTCCCTGACAGCACGGACGCCCTACCAAAGTCACAGGAGCAGTGGCCTCTCCCCACTCTTCCAAACAGCTTCCCCGGAGCTGCCAAGCAGCTGTGCCCCAGGCTCGGGTCCCCGTCATACCCAGAAGACAACTCACGACTCTGCTGGACCGCTTCTTCCAGCTGCACCTGCCCCGCTGTCCTCTGCCACCTGGACGGAAGCCCAGCAGCTGATGTGACTCCGGTGGGGCCGGGGGCGGGGAGGCTTCTGGAAAGGCTCCACCCCCGCACCCCAGCCCCTCTCCCTCCCAGATGGGGTTCTGAGTGTGGCTGCCAAGACCTTCCTGGCCAGAGCGCTCCCCGGGCTTGGGGAGCGCAGGCCTCCCACGCAGCCGCTGCTCCAGGCGCCACACCCCCCAGCTGTGCGTGTCTGCGGCCGGTGCCTCCGGGTCTGCATCCTGCAGGCAGCCCTGCCCTCCGGGCACTTTCACAACCTGCTCTGACCTCCCTTCTCTACTCACTGGCTTGTCTCCCCATGGCCAGGCCTCCGTCTCATCCCCCCACATCCCTGGGCTGGGCAATTGAACGGGGCCTTCGCTTTTATGGGTGTTGTTACAGAGGAGGACTCGAGACTCCTGGCATCTCCGGGGGAGGAACGCAGTGCGGACCCTGGGGTCTGCCCTGGGGACAGAAGCTGTCTGAGGGCAGACGCAGCAGGCTCAGGCAAGGGAAAGACCTGCCTCGGAGCTCTCTCCACCTGCCTTGCTCTCAGATTGACTGACCGGCTGCCTCCCTCCAGGCCTGCGCCCGTGGGCTCTGCTATCAGGGAGTGATGGAAATTACACGTTTAGCATCCAGAGCTGTTTCAAGTACCATCAAGACTGAGGGTGCTGGAGAGCAGGTTCTGGGACGTTCCCACGGGGAACAACCCGGAGTTAACCCTGAAGTGCTGGCCCTGAGCCCAAGGCGGGGCTTTAATGCTGCAGGCGGGACTCGAGAGCCCCTTGGAAGGAAGTTTCCCCCAGGGCAGCCGGGACTGTGAGGGGGCAGGCGGGCGGGCCGAGGGGGCGTGTGCCAGCAGAGCCTGGCCAGCGCCAGCGGCGGCCTAGACACCGGCCTTGGCGATGATCTTCTCGAGCAGGCCCATCATGCGTTCCTGCAGCTGCAGGCCCTGCACCTGCAGGATGTTCTGCTGGTCCAGCACGCGGCGCACCTCGCGGCAGGTGTCCTCCATGGCGCGGCCCAGTCGGCGCTGCTCCTCTAGCATGGCTTCCAACAGCCGCAGCTTCTTCCTCTGGAAGTGGCAGCCCTGCCCCTTGCGCTTCTTCACGGGCCGCTCGTCCGACCTGGAAGGACAGCACCGGTGTGTGGACAAACGGGGCCCAGGGCAGGGGAGCCAGGCCCTCCCCAGGTGACACAGCGGGCAGACTTGGGGGGTGGGGGCGCCCTGCCACAAGGGCACCCCAAACCCGCGCTGGGCGGGTGCTCGGGGGAGAGGCCACCCCCAGAGAGGGACAAGGCTGGGTGGGAGGGGCTGCTGGGCAGAGTGCCTCCCCCGGGAAGACAGAGGCCGCCAGTCCCAGCCGGCCTGGGGCAGATGGGGAAACTGAGGTCTCAGAAGGAAGGGCCTGGGCCCCTCATCTCCCAGCAGCCTGTGGTGAGGCCAGCATGCCCTGGGGGTGGAGGCAGGGGGACAGGCACCCAGAGGGGTCAGGCCACAGGGGCCTGGGCTGCCCCCCAGGACCAAAACCTCTGGTGGGCAGGCAGTGGAGGAGCCAAGGCCCACAGCCTGCACTCTGCTGGGGGTGGGGGGCACCCCGGGTCTAACTGGCCCCCACTGGGAGGCAGGGAGCTGCCAAATCCCACCAGACCCCCAGGCCCTGCCTGTCCCCTGGCCCCAGCCCTGCACTTCCGTGCAGAACGGTGACCCAGCCAACCTCAGGGGCAGGAGAGTGGAGCTCGGACCCAGAGGGACCGCAGCCCCAAGTCCCAGTCCTGGTGCGACGCCTGGGGCAGCCATCAGTCTGGGAACTCGGCTCAATCTCCATAAACCTCAGGCTTCCCAAAGACATTTCTGTCAGAGGCCTCTGCTGAGAAACGCCACCAGGAAGGGGCACTGGAGCAGCAGCCCTGACACGCGGGTGTCAGACTGCAGGGACGCCCAGAGGTGCCGTCCCCGCCCGCACGTCTGGCAGCTCAAACCCACACCCTTCCCGTTCTCTTCCCCACTGGCCAACTCCTATTCACCCTTGAAAGCCCAGCCAAACGCCACCTCCCGACACCCCGGCCCCACACCACAGGGGTGTGTCTCCCGCACACTGTTGAATGGCATCTTGAGGTGGGGTTGGCCCACGCCCAGTGGGACACAATGGACAGCACATGGGCCGGGCCCGCCCGCCGCAACTAGGCTCCAAGGACCCCCTGGGGGCTCAGTCTGACACCCCTCCCTGGTGCTGAGGACTGGCCGGCCAGCCAAGCGCAGGGGAAGGGGCCCCAGGGGACCCCAGACCCATGGTCTGCTTGGGGTGAGGGGACCCTGAGAGCCGGAAGCCAAGGGGTGGGCCAGGTGCCCGGGTCTGTTCTGGCCTCCATAGTGCCAGTCCTCCCTGGAGAAGGTCCTGATTTATCCCCATGTTACAGAGGGAGACTGAGGCCCAGAGAGGTCAAGGACTTTCGCACGGCCCAGCAGTGACAGAGCCGGGAGACGATCCCAGTCTGCGGATTCGGCAGCCGGGCTCCAGGGACCACCTGCCTTCCTGCCCTCGGCCTCCCTGTCCCGGGAGGCTTCTGCACACCACCTGGGCTTCCAGGGACGCGGTCGCCACGCCCCTCGCGGCTCCCAGCCCCTCCTCCTCCGGCCTGGCCCCGCTGGCTCCCGTGGGGGCGGGAGGAAGCGCACACTACCTGAACTTAAGGGACAGTAAGCTGGAGGAGCTGTCGGAGCCATCGTCCTGGAAGCGGCCTTCGTAGGAGCACTGGTTATACGGTAAGTACAGAGGGGTGGACTTAGCAGACGGCGACAGGGACGCCTCGGTCTGGGACGTGGACGGCCCCGGCTGCTGGCCGTCCGGCACTTTGCCATCACAGGACTCAGGGACCTTGGCCAGAATCCTATCAATGGCTAGGTAATAGGGCCAGTCGGGCGGGACGGACTCGCTATCTGTCATGCATTTTAATTTCCTGAAACGAGAGACACAAGAGCCAAGGGTGAGAAACAGCCGGTCCTGTCCCTGCCCCGCCGGCCCTCAGCAGAGGGGCCCTCGGGGCTCCGGACCCGGGAGCCGCGTGGCACGGGTGGGAGCCACTCTCGGCCTCCTCAGAAAAATCGGCCAGGCTCCAGGACAAGGTGACAGTGGACTTAGGAAGAATTCAGTCTCAGGACCTACAGCGCCTTGGATGCGGAGAAGGGAGAGCGCGCCCCGTGTGGACGAGGCGGTCTGTAAGTGACGGACCTTGGGCTGATTCCTACCACCCTCTCTTGGCTTTCCTGTTTCCTAAACTCTGCAGTGAACAAATACTGCGTTTAAATAAATTAGCCAGCAACAGTAAAATCCACAACACAGACATGGGCGTAAAATGCGATGAATAACGCACACGTAAAATAACGCAATGTGATAAATGTGCTTTTCTAAAGAGGACGCCTCAGGAGCACGAAGCTCAGGAGTCAGGGGCACAGGCTTCAGTGTCCAGCAGATCTGAGTCTGTGTCTGTCTCCACCACTTTGCTGTGTGACTGTGGGCAGGTTCATTAACCTCTCTGAGCCTCCATTTTCACACCAGTAAAATGGGGATGATCAAAGATGCGAGCTCCTCAGATGGCTGTTGGAGGATTTAAGGAGACAGCGCCTGGTGCCTGGCAGACAGCAAGCCGTCCAGGTATCGCTCTTGGCTGAAGGTGGCAGGAGGAGCAGGGCTGGGCCTGACGGGCTCCCTTCCCACTGCCTGACACCCCCATCGCTACTCAGACCCCAGGCCGAGGGGCTGCACGGCACAACTCTGCCCACCCGGGCCTGGCACCCTGCCCAGCCCTGCAGACAGGCCCTGCAGGCCCCTGGGACTTGGCTGTCCCCTGGGAGGTGAGAGATGGGGAGATGGGGCCACAGGACAGCAGGGCAGCCCCGGCCAGGCCAGCAAATGGGGGCGGTGAGGGCTCTCTGCCTCCTAAGGCCCAGGGTTCCCTGTGCCCTCAGCCTCAGTCTGCAGACCCCCACATTTCTGACCCACATTCCTCCCAACGTGGGAAGACCTTCGAGCTACAGAGTGACCCGTGGCCAAGTGGCTCCTGTCTCCTAACATGGATTTCCTGCTAGGATGTGGCCGTGGTCACAGCGGTCACTGGAAATAATGAGCTGACCCTCTGAAAGAATCACCCCTGGCAGGGGGGCCTGTGGCTCAGGTAGCAAGAAGAGGCTGGCCATGGCGGGAGTTGGCCACCTCAATAGCCACTGAGCAGTGTCCTCAGCAGGAAGCCAAGAAAAGACCACGTAGGGATGACCACGGGACCGCTGCCCACCAGGAGGCTGTGCAGGCACAGGGGCAGATGACTGCACCCTCCGCCTGGGCTCCCCCCAGCCCTCTGGGGCCCCCAGCTCCTGTTTGCCCACCCCAGCCAGCCCACTCCTTGGAGAAATGAGGAAAGGCCTGTCCCTAGTGCAGGAAGCCCCTAAATGGCATTCCAGTGAAGCACGCTCCACGGAACCAGGCCACCCCCCAGGCTTCCTTAACTGTCAACCTTAATATGTAAAGAGCTACTATGGAAAAATAAGAAGAGCCTCTGCTGTGGGAAGCTCTGGCTGTTGGGGGTGGGGAGATAAAGAATGAGTCAACCAGCCAAAGCCTGGGAAGGGCTGTGTGGCCTTGGGCAAGTCCCCCTCCTGCTGTAGGCCGCAGTTTCCCCCTCAGCGAGTGGGAGCTGGAAAGGGCTGCCGTGTGCAAGTGTTTCACAAACTGTGAAGTGCTGTACATGTGTGCAGCCTGCACCCCAGGCCGGACTGCAGTGGCGCGCATGGAGGCTCCGGAGGAGGCCAGGCCCCGCTCTGCCACCCCTGCATCTCCTGTGGCCTCCATAGCCCACATCCCCGCCTCCCAGAGTGGAACAGAATCCTTCCCCTGGGACCCTGATGAAGGCTTTCAGGATAAATAATGAATAACCCGGCCAGACACCAATCAGATCCCATGAGTTACAGAGTCAGAGAGAAGGCCAGTAAAACAGCCAGCATCACCTCTGTGGCCCCCTCCTCGCCAGGCACCGAGGGGCGCTGGTGAGCGGTGGGGTGGGGGCGTCTGCGTCCCTGCCTGCAGACAGCGCAGGCCTCCTGTCAGGAGTGGGTGGCTGGCATCTAGCCTCCTCTACCTGAGTAACTCTGATGCCTTCGGACCCCAGCAGCCACCTCCTTTCCGCCCTAGGGCCTGGCTGGGGTCGAGGCTGTGGGTCAGAAGTGGCCTTTGGATGGCGCCAGGCTTGGGACCTGGTCCTCCAAGGGCCAAGAAAAGTTAAATTGACGCAACTGAAACAGGCTTTGGTTGTTCAGGGCCATGGGGAGCAAGCCTCTGCATGTCTCCATGCTCCAGAGGGGCCCGGAGCCACAGGCCCTGCAGGAGGGGTGAGGGTCTCTCCTTGTCTATTTGCGGGGGAGGGTCCTCTCACCCCTAGAGTGTGGTTCAAGGTGCCCAAGGCCAGCCCGCAGGGCCCAGTCTGCACGCAGCCCTGGCTGGATCTTGTTCCCCTGCCCGTGGCAGCCACAGCTGGGACCAGCTGGGCTCCTGCACGTCCTCCTGGGACAGCCTCCCCCCACCTCCAGACACGGGCAAGCTGCCCAGGCCGCCCACAGGGCCCATGCTCATGGTGCCCCTCTCCCCAGCAGCCCTCGCTCTGGCTTGACATTTACCCTTCCCGTGACCCTCTCCACACTTTTGACCTTGGCCCTGCCCATGACCCTCTGCAGATCGACCTGGGCCCCACACTCTGAGCTGCTGGGCATGTGGGGCCACACTGCTCCTTCCCGGACGCCAGCACTGCCCTTGCTGCCTGGAGCCCCGTGCTTGGCCCTGACTTGGTTTTTCCAAGGATGCCAGGGCAGGGGGCCGGTGTGGGACAGGGTGGGGGCAGAGATGTGTCCTTCCACAAATGGGGCCCATCCCAGGAGTGGGACCCCCCTGGACACTCGAGGTTTCTCCATGAGCCCTCCATACCCTGCCCCGACCCTGAGGCCAGTGCTGCACGGTACTCACAGCTGGCTTGGCTGATGCTAAGATGACAGCACATGGGGACAGGCAGACTCACAGGCCGGGCAGCTGAGCCTCCTTCACGCCTCCAGCCTTGGGTTCCCTGTCTGCACAGCAGTGCCTGACACTCTGTGGCGCCTGTGCTGGCCCTGGGTCTCCCCGGGACGGGTGTGTGCAGGCCAAGAGGGTCACTTGTGGGACCCAGGGGTAGGGCAGTGCCAAAGGTGCCCTGGGGGTGTCCCTTGGCCCAGGGAAGCGGGATCAGTCCCAGCCCTGCCCTCGCTGGGCCTCAGTCTCCCGACCTCCCCGCCCCCCAGTGACTTCTGCAGGTCCCTTCTCAACTATAGGAAGCCAGAGGGGACCCACGGGGCCCAGCCTGGCTGGGACCCTCGGCCTTCCTGACTCAGCTCCAGGGACGCGGAGCAGTCCCGCAGCCCGCGCTGGGCGGGGCGCTGCGCCCACCTGTACTGGAAGGTCATGTTGGTGATCTTGATTTTGATCTCCTCACCCAGCCGGCGCTCGCCCGTCATCTCCAGCAGCCTACTGGCCATCCGCTCATACACCTTGGCGTTGCGCTTGGTCTGCTTCAGCTCCTCGAAGAACTCCTCCCAGACGAGCATGAGGCCGCGCATCTCGGCGTCTGTCCAGTTGCGGGCCCGCCGGTGCTTCTCCGCCTGTGGCGACACGAGGTAGCCGGGCACCTCGGCCGCGGCCATGGCGGAGGAACCTGCGGGGTTAAAGAGCGTGCTCGCCGGCCGCCCGGGGCCTGCACGCTGCAGGAGCCCCGCTCCTGGAAGGCAGCTCCTCGCTCAAAATGGGGCCTACATCTGACAGGCAGGAATTTAGTTAAAAGCTTTTAAATGGGAAACGTCATTTTGATGTCACGTTTCCATAGCAACAGAGCAACTGCATAAGCTACAACAACAGAAACCTTTTAACTGGAAGCGCAGGAATCAGGGCCGCCCTGACGGGCCATCAATATTGCAGCGAGCAGGCCAGGCCCCAAACTGGCAGCCCAGGCCCCCAGCTCAGCCCCAGCCCCCGCAGTGAGGCATCCCCGCGGGGCAGGCCGCGGCCCCCACCTCGGCCCGGCCAGGCTCACACAGGCGGGGGGCCAGGAGCACATTGGGGGGCAGCAAAGTTGGGGACGGGGAGACCCAGAGGACAGACAGGAAGACAGAGGGTGCGAGGGGCAGAGGACACAGCAGGGAAGACCCAGGAACACACCCTCAGGGACCCACAGGGACACACCAGCAGGCCACCCCCACCCACCCACCCATCCTCCGACCAACACGCTCACACGTACGATAAACGTAAAACCACCAGGCTGGGCAGGAGCGGGGCTCCAGCCACCAAGCAGACCCCTGGCTCGGCCCCGTCCGCCTGCTTCCCTCCTGCAGGTGAGACTGCTTGCTGGCCCGGGTGAGCGCGGTTCTTGAGGCCAGAGTAGCAGGAGCAGGCGGTGTGTCCGTCCCACCCAGGGCAGACCCCCCGCCCTGACTGCCTGGCACCAGCACCGCCCGTCACCAGACCTGCCTCCCCACCTGCCGGGCAGGGTGCTCCTTGGACCCCACAGAAAAGGGTTCCGTAAAACTGAATCAAGGAATGAACAAGCGAAGGTTAAGCAATCCCCCTCCTTTCCGAGCAGGTCACCGAGACTTCGCCTTTGGACCTACTGGCAAACTCATTCATTCTTCGAAACCCTGTTCTGACATCCCACCTCTTCAAAGCCTTCTGTTCCACTGTGCTCCTTCTTCCCTTTTTCCCTCCTGCAAACTGATCCTACCTTGAGCCAGGCATTTATTTTCTGCCATCCAGTTGTGTGTGTGACCTGGGATCGGGCACTTGCAAAGGTGACAGTGATGAGAATTTGCACACTGTCTGACACTGGGCATCGTTCCAAGCACAGGCACGTGTGTTTTCTACTTTGATCCTGATGGTGCTCTTATGAGGGAGGCTGGCACCATATTTATTCCCATTTTCCAGATGAACAGGGTGAGGGGCAGAGAGGTGGGGTCACCTTGTGGGCAAAGGGCCGAGCTTGGCTTGAACCCTGGCAGGCTGACTCGGGGCTGGGTCTGACCCTCTGCTGTGCACCCCTGGGCAGGGGCACACATGACATAGCAGTGCTAAGTGCTGCATGCCTGGGTCAGTGCCCCGCCGTTTCCTGGGGCTTCCTAGGAGGCCCCCAACGCTGATCCTGGACAAAGTGGCTGCTGGCACTGGCTGGGGTCCTTGGCTGCCCGCCCTCAGCAGGCCTCTGCCAGGGCTTGACCGGCAGTCAGAGCCAGGGAACATGGACGCTGACCTCCAGCACAGGACAAAGGCGGGCTCTGCAGAAGGACACTGCTGGGGAGAACCGGCCAGGCCGCCCAGCCCAGTGCACGTGAAGGGGCAGGAAAGGGGCCCCGCCTCGGCAGGCCCGGCTAGCTGGACAGGAGGCCAGAGCAGTGGCACCTGCGGCGGCTGCAGGGAGAAAGCGCCACCTAAAGGCAGCAGGATCCAAAACGTGAAAGATAAACTCAAGAGGAGGTTTACCAGCAAGCACCCTGTGCCTGGGGACCTGTGGTGGCCACGCGGTGCCCAGCCCCACCCCCAGGCCCACCGGCCCAGCGAGCCTGCCTGGCACCTGTGCAGTTCTGGCAGGGGCCGACCTTGGCTGGGAGGGCTCTCAGAGCCTAGGCTGAAACCCCTGCAGGCGGCAGAGGGCCCTCCTCGGGCCTGACCACACGCAGGGGCGTCCTGGTCTGAGGCTGGGGTGGGGCGGTGTCCCCGACCCCGTGCCCCATGTGCCGTGCACACGCCCTCTGACACCCTGCGAGAGGGGCCGAGGCCCCAGGCGGGAGGAGGGGAGGTGCTCAGGACGGGGTGGGCCGGCCAGGCTCCCTCCTCCCTGCAGTCAGCCCTGGGAGTGCAGAGGCAGAGGACAGCAGGGGCACATGTGGGCACTTGGAGGGGCCTCTGCATCCCCCCAGTGGGTTCCCGGGTCAAGGCCTGGTCCTGCCATCAGCCCTCTGTGGAAGCCACTCCCTCTCTGGGCTTCAGTGGTCCCCTGGGGACATGGGGACACCACCGCCTGGCTGCACATCACCCCCTAGAAAGGCTCACAACTGTGCTCCTCCAGGCCTGGGCACCTGGCACAGAGCACTCAGTAGTGTTTGCAGAGTGAATGAGTGATTGTAAGGCCCACCTCTTCCAGGAAGCCCTCCCACACCTCAGGCAAAGGATTTGACCTCCCAAATGGCCCTAGAGCTGGCTCTCTGCCCCACCCGAGGACTCTTCCCCAGCCACATCCCAAAGGGCAGAGCGGGGCTGCCTCACAGGGCATCCCTGCACCAGGGTGGGAGTCCACAGGAAGGCAGGCAGAGCCGGCTCAGGGTCTCAAGCCCAGCTCCACTGACTCAGCATGTGACCTGGTCACCCCTACCCCTCAGCCTCTGTCCTCACCCACAGTGGGAGCAGCAGCTCCTGTCTGGGTAAGTCTCCATTGCTGGATGTGGGGCTGGTGTGCAGAGGGCCTGGCTGCACCTCCAAGGCCCTGGGATCTCTACCCACTGCCCCTTCCCTCCTGGCCCCAGTGCTCCTTGGAGCTTTTGGAGAATTGGGCAGAGGATGGCAGCTGGCCTGGCTGGGGACGGTGATCAGTCATCAGGACAGCTGGCCCCAGTGCCTCCGAGCAGCAGCAGCTGGCCTATGGCATCACCACCTGCGCTCAGGGCCCCGAAAACCAGGCAGCCCCAGAGGAAGCAGCTGCACACCACCCTCCCCCGCCTTCCCCTGAAGCCGACCCGTCCAGGAGAGTCGGGGGAGAAGGCTGGACTCCGTCTCTTCTCAGGCCTCAGGGGCACCAGAACCCTGGAGGGGCAGCCCTGGAGACGCTCCCTGAAGCAGAGCCCTTGCTTTGGGCCTCCAAGGACAAGAAGGGGCGAGGCTGGGAGCTCAGGGAGGCAGGGCCAAGCAGCCCTGCAGGCGGCCCTGCCTGTCCTCGGCTGGGGAGGAGCTCCGTACCTTGGCACAGCTGCACGGCCCGCTGGGCCCCTCAGTCTCTGCAGCAGAGGGCAGCAGAGGGCCCAGGGCTGGGCGTCCAGCAGCACCTGTGGGGAGAAGGGGAGTCAGGCCTCAGCAGGGCGTCCTGGGCCATGAATGTGCTCAGGAGGGGCTGGTGCCCTCCAGGCCTCAGTCTCCCCTGACACGGGAGCCCAGGGCAGGAAGGGGGCCTCCAGAGCCTTCCAGGAGCAGGCAGCAGGGAGCTGAGCCCGTCCCAGAAGGCGAGAGAGCTGGGCAGAGGAGAGGCCCAGGGGGCTTGGGGGCAGGGCCAGGCAGGCAGGCAGGGCAGAGCGGTGGGAGGGCAGGGCTGGAGGATGGACCACCGGGCGGAGAGGGGCAATGACCCCTGCTGGCACCACCGTCCTCTCCGAGTACTTGGGGAGTCCAGACCCTTAACTTTCGGCCCTCTGCCCCGGTGGGCAGGCTCCCACCCAGACTCCACGGCTCCACTGGGCCCACCCATGCCCTGAGCACCTTCTGGGCCAGGGTGGGCGCAGGCCTGGCTGGTGGTCCCTCCCATCCTCAACTATGCGAGTTGAAAGCCTGGGAACACCAGGACCCTAGAGGACGTGACATGGGGGAGCACATCTGGGTGGCCCTGGGGCTTCCTGCTTGGGAGGCCAGTGGTGGTGAGCCATCCAACCAGACGGAGGACAGTTTGGGGCCCGAGAACTCGTGGAAACTGCAGGATACATTCATTGTTTCCCCAAAGGCGTCTCAGTTGACCCCACAAAGCAGGCCCATGGCCACGCTGCCCTGAGGGGTGAGGCACGGGCCGAGCACCTCCATACCCAGAAGGACCCTCAGGTCTAGGGCCAGGAAGGAAAGCAGGGTCTTGCCCCCTGGGGAGTGCACCTGTGCCTCAGTAGCTGGAGGGTGAGTGAGGGGCATGCTGTTGCTTCTTTCCAGGGCATCTGGGGCCCTTTTCTTTCTGGAAACAACAGGTAGGCCAGGTGTGCTCAGGTGTGCCAGCTAGGGTCAGTCTGTCCTCACCTGGACCAGGGTGGGGCGGGTAGAGTGTAGGTAGCCCTGAAAGCTGAGAGGCCGTCGGGGACCCTGGAGCTGCCACAGAGGAGGAGACTAAGTTGGGGATGTGCAGAGTGACCCAGGTGGCACTGGGGCCAGCGTGGCCGGTCCAACAGCCCCAGCAGCCAGTGCTCTCCAAGCAGCTTTCTGCCCACAGTGCTCACACCTTCAGCCCATGCACGAGTCACAAGCTGGTGTCTGCAGGTCAAGACCACACTGTCCCTGTCTCCGTGCAGAGGCCAGGCTGTCCGTGCCCACCTGTCTCTCTGGGCTCCTTGGTCGGGCTGCAGGCTGCCCACTCCCGTCAATGCTCTGGAACCAAGGGGACTTCAGCCAACATTACGAAGCACCTGCTGGGGCAGCCCACAGCCTAGGGTCTGTCTGGTAGGAAAGCGCCTGTGCTCTGAGACCACCACGGCACCGACTGCCGGTGCTCCCGACGAGGGGCTCACAGAGCTAAGGATGGCGCCCACGTAGCTGCGTGGAGGACTTGCAGGAGGAACTGGTGTTTGGGGCAGGAAGAACTTACCAAATGGATGGGGCAGCACCACCACACTGGAGCCCAGGGCACGGGGGCCATGAGCTGGACAGGGCCAGACGGGCCATGAAGAGGGCTCAAAAGCCAGGTGGTGGCCCCTGTGCGAGCCCCCCAGGACCTATGCCAGCCCCGAACACCCCTCCAGGGCCCTGGGCCAAACGCGGAGGCCGAGATTCAGGGTAGAAACCACACAGCCCCGTGGAGACTCTGTCACGGAACCACCGCAGCTTTACAGCCTTGTGTGCTGGGCAGAAGGGTGGCTGCGCTGTGGTCCGGGGCCGTCACAGGAAGCACCAGCCGGCCCAGCCCGGCACAGGAAGGGCAGTGGGCTCATGCGGATGAGGCAGCAGCTCCTGCCTCCTCCTCAGGAGGGTCGAGGTTGTCCTTAAGCAAAGCAGGCCTCACACGGCAATTCACAGTTTAATTTTTTCCTTTAATTTGGATGTACAACGTTTGCAGCAGTTTAAAAAATTAAAATACACATCTCATGTCAATCCTTCCCTCTCCTCTCAGAAACAGGTCTGGGCCAGGCTCCAGGGTGCACCCATCACAGCCCTGCCGGCTCCCAGCGCAGGGGGGATGGTGGGAACAGTGGGGACAGGCAGGGACAGCGTGAGCTCAACCCCTGCCGACAGCTGCTCCACACGGTGCAAGGCAGCGAGCAGGCACAGGTGGCCCCGCTCGGCTCGCAGACAAACCACCTGCGGCAGGGGCCACTGGTCACTCAGTTTGCAACAGGAAACTCTGCACTGACTGTCCAGGGCCAGGTTGTCCCAGAAGCACTTAGGAGAAAGAAGTTCCTTCAGCTGCACTAAAAAGTGACAGGCGCATGGGAAGTGCCCCCGAACCTTCCAGGCCACCTTTGGTTGTCACCACCACCTAGGGGCCCCTTCCTGCTGAGCCTGCGCCCAGGCAGCGGGGGTGGCCCCCCTTCTCACATGGCCACCCCTGGGGTCTCCAGCAAGCATCGGCGGCTTTTGAGGTGGCGCCCCCACCCCACCCATCACTCCAGCAGACAGAACCACCAGGAGTCTCCCTGGCCAGTGGCTGCAGTTTTGGGCACTCACCACAGAGCACAGGACACGTGCCAGGAAAAGATGCTCACGGTACCAAGAAGACACGACATCTACTCCCGCCAACCACACAGGACCAGCACACGCGGCCCAGCCCCGAGGGTCTCCCTGAGAGCTGTTTCGGGTCCGTCCTGCCTGAGCCAACATGGGGCTCGTCTAAGCTCCCCTCGGCCCTGAGGGCTTGCAAGACACCGTGAAGGGACCGGTGTGGTGAGGGGTCCGTCAGGGCGCAGGGCCTCCTCTGATGCTACATTCTGGGTGTCTGGAAGTGTCTCAGTGCAGTTCTCTCCTCCTGGAGGGACACGCGTGCTGGCAACAGTGGGAGAGCACAGCAGTAAGGGGCACTTGGCAGCTGGAAAGGCCCAGCACAGCTCGGAGGGGCCGCGGCGGGAGGAGGCACGTTTCTGAGAAGACGCGTGTAGGTGCACTGCCAGCCGACTCTACCCTGGTTTTGCTCAAACTCTTCCTGCTGATGTTGCCAGCAGGAAACCAAACACACCCTCCTTCCCCCAAAGAAAACAAAAACCTGATGGTAAATTACTGATATTTCCAACAAAACTTGGATTGGGAACATGATTGGTGCTCGCCGCAAACTTCTAGGGGAGCGTGATGCAGTCTTAACCCCTCCTGCGGAGGGCTGACCGCGTGGACTGCCCTCTCAGTGGGGTTTAATGAGCGATGACCCACTCCCGAGACGTCTTAGCCAGGGAGCCGACTCCACGAGGCAGGTCAAGGGAAAGTCAGCTTCTACAAAAACCGGACCAGCCACTCCTAGAAGCCTCGCGCACTTGTGTCTGGAGATACACGTGCCATCACGGGCACGCACCCACCGGCAGTGATCCCACTCAAAGACCCACACCCGTTTTGGGAGCACACCGGCAAGCCTCTGGGTCGGCACCTATGGCCAGCACGGGGCCCCAAGCCTCCTGGTGAAGAACTGATGGTTTTAGTTCACACGGTGAAGAGGGGACAACCAGTTAGGCTCAGCTGAGCCCAGGGCCAGGCTTCCTCAGGACAGGCCGGATCTTCCACTCGCAGTGTGACTGCAACAAGTGCAAACGTCTAAGAGGACGCAACACCCGCGCCCCTCTCCCAGCTGCTGAAACAATGCGTGCGGCAAGGCGGCCGTTCTGGAGCTTTCCATGTTCACGAACATCCTAGTGGGCTTGCTACGGGAAAGGCCGGATGACCACCAGGGCCAGATGAAAAGGGAGACGGTGGCTGATCCTATCGCTTCTTGTTCAAAGCCGCAGTCCCTCCTCCACGGTCCTGCCCAACACGCAACCAGTTTCTGCAGCTCGTGCCCTGGCTGGGTGAGGCGTCTGTGGGGGGCCAGGGGAGGAAAGGCTGCTCTGAGGAGGGGCCCCCGCAGCCACCCTCACGCATACACTCTGCAGCCCAGCTGGCCTCGAGCAGTGGCAGTGGGGAAGGGGCGGGTGGGGGCCGCTGGCTGCATGCGCTGCAGTGAGACGTGGGGACGCGCAGACAGACGGGAGGGTAGCTAACCACACACCAGAGGGCTCCTCCCCTTTGCAGACCCTGGAAAATGACTTTGAAATCACCTCACTCACCAGTGAAATACCCAAAACCTGGCTGCACTTGAGCTCTTGACCAAACTGACCAGCACGATGGCGACCAACAACCGGCCCGCCTCTGGGGACCTGAAGAGCCCTGCTCCCAAGCACTCCCCCAGCCCCTGCGCTGGGTCACCGGGTCGCCTGACTATCTGGGCTGCATCTGCATTTGGTGATTTGGCTGCTCTGGGCCCCGAAACTGCTGGTCCAGGGGCCGGCCGGGGCCAAAGGGGCAGCTCTAGGATCATTCCTGCCCTTTCCAGGCGAGCCTGCCACTCGTCCAGGGGGCACAGATCTGCACTCTGCTGCACCGAGAGGAGACCGTGGCATACAGGCTGAGCTGGAAAGGGGGCCCAGGAGGTGCTGGGGTCTCTTTGCTCTGGACCATGAGGGGCAGATATAGCCTGGTTATACGCTTGGGGCGGCCGGGCCAGGCATGCGCCTGGGCCCCGACACGCAGGAGGGGACACATGGGACGTGGATCCCAACCCCAGGTGGCCAGCCCCTGGGCAGACCGCAGCCCAAGCCAGCTGGGGACAGGAGCCGGGGGACGACAGCGTCTCTGGATACAACAGGCTGCTCAAAGCCAGGCGGGCTGGCTGGTCAGCTAAGGGGAGCTGTCCCTTACTGGTGGGTGAAACTTGAGAGCTGTCCATACCTTGGAGCTGCGGGTGGGCAAGGAGGGGTGCTGCCCATGCACAGGAAAGCCGAGCGGGCACCTTCTCAACCCATAGCAGGGCGGGGTGGGACTCCTGATCCGGACCTCTGCACGCTGGCCCTTGTCTAAGTTCTAATTACACGTGAGTGCATAAAGGGAGTGGTGAGAGGACCTGCCAGGCAGAGCGCGGCTCATCTTGTGGAGGGACCGCCCTGTCCACCTCCGCAGAGGCTGCGGCACGCGGCAGACTTGGCAACGCACAGACGGTACACGGGTGTAGAAAGTTACCTTAAAATTAATCTCTTTACTGATATAATTAAATTTTAAATCCTGAGAAGAAAATGGAGACAGGGAGGTACGGCGAGGGGTGTCGTGCTCCCAGCCGCCCACCTGGCCCACACCATGGCGTCAAGTCCAGACGCCGGAGCGCCAAGACCCCAGCTCCCGGCCTCGCTGGGGGGCACAAGGAGAGGCTCTCAAAAGCCCGATGGCATCACCTCCCGCCTGCGGGACAGCAGAGGGGCCAAGGGCCAGCCTGCCAGGACTCTGAGCAGAGGCAGGAGCAGCTGCAACCTGGCGACACGGGCAGGCTGAACACTAGGAAGAGGGTAAACACCTGGTTAACTGGCGTCTGACATTAGCTCTAGCGTGAAGGGTTAGCAACACGGCTGCTCTTGCTCCCGTGAAGACTCAGGCTCGACCCCAAAGATCACTGCACGTGTACCCTCACACGGCCTCATGGCCCTGGCAGAGCGGGCGCGGCCCGGCGCCCTGGGTGGCAGAGGGAAGCGCACGGCGCCAAGCCACCCAGCGCAGACAGGTCCCAGAGGTCCTGGCGCCACCCTGCTGCCACTCCGTGGGCATTCAGTGCGTGGCAACCTTGTGGACATTCTGCAAACAAGTCAGCAGTCGCTGATATGGGTTTCCTGGTGCCGCCACCACCTCAAACACAGACTGGAAGGCCCTGCGGTCCAGCTCCTCCTCTATCTGGTGTCTGTAGAAGTCCGCGGCCACCAGGCAGAAGAGGTTCACGTCCACCCGCTCCAGCTTGCCCATTCTGCTGACCACGTGGGGAAGGCTGGAGGGCAGTTAAGGGAGCAAGGCTGCAAGCAACGGGAGACGGCCTCCCTGTCCTGACCGGGGACGTCCTACCCTGACCCAGGCTGAGAGGCTGGGCCGGCCCGAGCACCAACTGTGGCAGTGGACGGGACAGGCCTGGGCCTCGCCAGCAGCAGCTGCCTCCCACCTGGGCTCCTGCCGGCAGTGGAGCTGACCTGGCCCTGCCGGTGGGAAGCCGGAGCCCCGGGGAGGCCGCTCCTCTCAGCAGCACTTACCTGGCCCAGCCCTCCATACAGCGCCGGCGGCCGGCGCCCTTGCAAGCCCTGCTCCTGCACCTGGAGCGCGGGGCCATGCCGCCCCAAGCCCGTGGTCAGCGCCAGCACCCTGTCTGCTCGGAGGCTCTGTGGTCTGCCTGTCGCAGGGAGGCTGACAGAGGGAAGCCTCCCTTTTTGGCGGCCAACACTTTTGGGGCGGGAATCAGATCCTCAGTGAAGCTGTCACCCAAGAGGGTGACAAAAGGCATGTGACAAAGGATAATGAGAAGCAGCAGGCGTGACGTACCCAGCTGCAGGGGTCCCGCGGGTGGAGGGGAGGAGCCCCCCCCGCAGTCCGGGCTGGTGTGGGGAGCGCACGTTTTGCTCCCTTGGGGTTTAGGGCAAATGTCCTGTGGACACCGGGGCCTTCTGCAGAAGCTAGGCTTCCCACCCCTTAACACCTACGTCAACCTACACGCTCGCTGCCTGAAGGCTGCTGGGGTGGCAGCAGCGGGAGGGCTGGGCAGCGCCTGGCCCCGGGACCCAGGGAAGGATACATCGCTGAAACCCACGGGCTGGTGGAAGCACTGACGAAGAAGCAGGAGAGGCTCCACACGGCCATGGCGACCGGGGTCCTCTGCGTGAAGTTGGAGAGGGACAGCATGACCCAGTCCCGGACCATGGACGACTGCCCCGTGCTGTGCAGCGTCTGGAACACCTGGGAGGGAGGAGAGCCCAGGTGGGGCGGGGGTGGCCACGCTCAACACCGGCTCTGGGTGAAGAGTGGCTGCCAGCTTCCAAGGGGAGGAACCTGCTAGTCCCCGGGGCAGGCGTGTTCAGAGGGCACAAGGCACCCGTCCGGGAAGGGTGGCTGGCCCTCACCTGGTGCACCACAGTGGCCATGAACTGTGGGTATGGCTGCTGGTTGGATAGGAACTCTCCAATGACCTTGTTCATGACGTCCTGGGGTGGGAAGAAGTCGTCGAGAAACTGGGGGAGGATCCGTGCCACCACCCTGGCTTCACAGGGGAACCCTTTCCTGATCCTGCAACGAAAGGAACAGGGGTCAGAGCCCACCCTGCCTGGGAAAGGCCTGTGTCTGACCCACCGCTTCACGGGCTCTCAACAGCAGGGCCACGGCAGGTCTCCTCCAACACTGACGGGGGAGCAAGACGGCACTGCCTCCACCACTGACCCCCCTCAGGTGACACGAGGATGGAAGCAGGGCTAGGGCTCGGGCTCCCCACCCAAAAAGGGACCCTGTAGTAACCGGCAGAACTGTTCTGGGCAGTGACGTCACAGGACCCGCCCCTGTGAGGGTTTGTTCTCCCCCATCCATCAACTCCCAGAACTTCTCGGCATCTCATTCTGACGCCACGGCACTGTGTTAGGAGCCTTCCTCTTACCGACCTGGCCCTGGGTGCCCTCCTGCCCACACCCCTCAACGACCCCTAGGGTTCACCCCTCGAGCAGTGTCCTTCCAGGCTGGGGGGGGGGGCATCATGCTACTCAAGCCACCGTCCCATTAGCACAAGCAGCTGGCCCTCTGTATCCGCGGGTTCCACGTCGGAATCTCCATCGGTGTCTGGCCGACTCCGTGAATGCGGACCCGCGGACTCAGAGGATGGATGGCGCTGCACCGCTTTATATAAGGGCCTGCGCGCTGGCGGAATGTGGCATTTGTGGAGGGCCCAGGACCAACCCCCGTGGATTCTGAGAAACGACTGTGCAGAAGAGTTACGTGTGACTGCAAAGCACTGAAGTGACCCAGAAACTGGCCCACGCCTCCTTCGGGTGTGCTGGGACTCACCTGCCTGCAGAGACCCGCTGTTGCCAGCACGGGCGAGGCTGCTGCTCTGGACAACACCCACGACTGAAAGTTAGCTTCTGTCAACCCAGAGTCTGCCCCCGAGTATCTGGAGAGTGGTCAGGCCAAACGCTGCCAGCAAGCGTTGGAGTGTAGGCTCCACGTGGGCAGGGGCCTGAGCACACACGCCCCTTCTACAGTCCCACGTGGAAACAGACCCTGTGCTTAGCTTTCAGGACACCCGGCCTGGCTGGAGCACCACGGACTACGTCCTGTCGCGTGCACTCTTGTGAACTCTGCTGCCGGAGCTGGCCAGGGCTGACAGGGTGAGCGGTGCAGACCTGGCTTCCCCAGGCCCACAGACACACAGTGTCCCCTGGACCAAGAGGCCCCTGTCCAAGGTCTAGCCTGATAAGGCACCCAGCCTGCCGTGCAGACACAAGGGCACACGTGTGGGGGGCAGGCCATCATCATAAGCTCTCAAATACGATTTTGTTTATTGTTTAAGTTTGTCCACCAAAGACACCTCCTGAGCCATTTTAATGAGGCCAAAAGGCCGTGTGCGCCACCCGTCCGCAGCCCTGCTGGGCACATGAGTGAGCCTGGGGCTCCTCTGTACAAAAGCAGCAGGGTCTGGCAGATAGGTGTTACTGACCAGGCCCCACGCCCAGTTCTCCAGGTGTCCGCACGCCCCTCCCGACACCGCACAGCCGGCACTGCCCTCGTCTTTAGCAGATGGACGTGTGCCTGGGCTGGCCCTGGAGCTCGGGACTCTGAAGCCCCGGGGGCGGGGTCCTGGGGCTGTGCGTCCCACAGAGCCCCAAGGGTGGCCCGAGCACACTCAGGACGCAAGCAGGACGCGGACAGCAGCTCCATTCTCACCTATCGAAGAGGACAGACACGCGCTCCATGGCCACAATCACAGACTCGCTGTCGGGGGCGGCGGCGGCGCCGGGCCCTGAGCTTCTGCCTGGACTAGCCTTCTCCTTTCCTGAATGAAACAAAGCTGCTGAGTTCTGCTGACTATAAAACGGACAGGCCCTGTACACGGGGCCTGGAACTCACGCGAGAGTTCATGAACCCCCGGGGATGGTCTGAAACCAGGTGACGGGAGCCCCCAGCAGCCCAGGCCCGGCCCAGCCCAGCCGCACGGGGTGCAGCGGCCCGTCTGCAGACCCGCTCCCAGGCGCAGTTCTGACACCCGGACAGCTCTGTGACCTCGACCTGGCCACCCCTGCTCTAGGCTCCAGCACCCCCTGTGAGAACTGGGGGCCCGTGGTCTGCATCCCACGTGGTCTGGAGGGTGGGGCACTGACCCGCCAGGCACAAGTTGGCCGCTGCTCACCGGTGTACATGCAGGTGAGCATCAGGCCCAGGGCCGCCATGGCCCGGTGCGGGCTGTGCACGTTCACTCTGTCCACGCTCAGCTTGACCAGGGACTCTGCGTCCAGCCGGGAGAGCTGCTCGGAGAGCAGGAGGCGCTCTAGGCCCCTCAGGACGCAGTGGTAGATGATGGACGGAGTGGACTCCTCGCTTCCGGACAGCATCACCCCACACATCTGAGCAGGAGGAAAGGCTTCCGAGTCAAAGAGCCACTTCAGGCCTCCTGTCTCTCGTGTGTCTTCCCCCAAACCACAGCCACCCCAGGGTCCCACCCCACAGGTCAGAGGGCACTCCCCTCTCCAGAGACAGACACCCAGGTCCACTCACCTGGATTATGGATGCAGAGAACTCTGGCCCGACGTCCAGAGGATAGTTCTCAATCAGGTAGAAGGCAGTGGCGCACATCACCAGCACGTGCTGCTGGCTGTGGGTGTTCACGCAGCTAAAAACAAGACAGCAGCCAGGTTCAGCCACAGACAGCAGGCCGCTCCCGTCTGACGGCACGCGGCGTCCTCCCGTCTCAGAGCCTTGGCTACCTGCCCGCCTGGGCTCCTGCCAACTCCTGCCTGCGCTCTGGCCCCAGTCTGACGTCCGCTTTGAAACGAGTAACATTGCTCTTCTCACTGCCCGTCCTAAGAGCCCCCACATCTGGTCAGACCCCAGAAAAAGCCCGGGAGGAACACAAGAGCAGGAGGCCGGGCAGCCCCAACTCACTGGGCGATGCCCTTGAGGCTGGAGAGGAGGTAGTCGCTGACGACGGGGATAAGCTGCTTGGCGGTGTCATCCAGGAGGTCACACTCCAGCACGTAGAGGACACCGTGCAGGGCTCCCACCCTGCTGGGCAGGTGACTGCTCCTCAGTGCGCTCTCCAGCAGCCGGCCGACTGGCTCTGCCACAGCCTTGTCCTAGGGCAAAGGCACACAGCAGAGGCTAGCCCCACAGCGCGGTGGGAGCCACGAAGGGGAACCTCACTCCACAGCGTGCAGAACGCAGTCCTCACAGTGGGGCTGCCCGCCGTCCTCCACGAGGCCCGGGTGCCGGGCTGGCGCTGGGCTGGCGCTCCGGGGCTTGGATGTCGGGAGGGCTCCTGGCACCCTCACCGATGGGGCGGCCCCCTGGGCTCACCCGCTGAGCAGACACCCGCCCCTCAGGGGCTGGGGTTTGGTGTGTGTCCGCAGTGGGGCCCGCAGGACCTGCCCCCGATAAGAACCCTGGTGCTGAGTCTCTAAGGACCCTCCCTGGGGACAGCACTCCACATGTGCTGTCACAGTGTGTCACCGGGGGACTGAGCGTGCCTAGTGTGACTCCATGGGTCAGGGTTCTGGGAGCGGGCCTGTTTCCTCTCTGGACCTCGCCCCGCGTGTCCCTCTGAGAAAGACCCAGGCATGGCCCTGGGGAACCCCAACCACAGTTTATACTAACGTGGACCAAGACGTCCAGTCTCATTCAGCATCCTAACCAGGACAGAGTAAAGGAGACATCTGAGTCCCCGCACCTGATCCTCCCCAGGGAAGACGACTGCGTCAAGCGCAGAGGTGAGGCAGACACGGCGGTTTCACAGACAGCCGCCCTGCCTAGGGACTCGCCACGACTGCTGGCTGAGGGCCTCGCCTCACTCTGCAAAACCACAGAGGCCGCTCAGCCCACACCCTCCCTAGAAGAGATCCTGCAGTCCAGGCGGGAGGACAGTGCCAGGCTCCTCCTCCCGCCCACACCAAGCCAAGGCCTCCAGACACCACCAGGACCCGCAGGAGGGTGCGGCTCCCACAACCCTGGGGCAATGTCTCTAGACAAGCTTTGGAATGCTGATGCTGCACCAGGGGGCACAGGTCGCGGCCTTAGGCCGCATCCTGAGGGAGACCACACTACCACTGCAGCCCAGCAACACCCGGCCTAAGCCTCTTTTTAAAAAACAATGATTCCTCATTCGATTTACTGACGATACAACACTTGCCTGCGGGGATCCAGGCCTGAGCACAAAGGCACAATTACCAGCAGCTGAAACTCCCGCAAAGACGAAAGGCCCCTTCAAGTCCAGCTGCTGTCACATCCCTCTCCACACCCAGAGGGCACACATTTTGAAGAGCTGTGCTCATGGAGAAGCGCCAACGGACTCACTGTCCCTGTTCCCTGGATGGTGGCACCGGCGCTGAAGGCCACCCAGGAAGGATGACACCTGCTCTGGGCCTTGGCTAAGAGGGAGAAATTCTAGAGGGGAGCAGTTGGGAAGGAGGTGAGGGTCAGGGCCCCCATAGAGACAGCAGCTCAGGCCCCACGTCTGTCCAGTCCCGGCTGGTCAGGAGCAAGTACCTAATGCCCGGCCTTGGCCTCCTCAGGCAGATGGGGTCACATTTTTAATACACTCTAAGAAGTGGCAGAGCCCACGGTAAGTACTTCATGTGTCTAACGTGACGTCCATTCAGCAACACGTGTGCTGACCGGGGCACAGACACGGGCGGGTCCTGACCAACCAGGGCACAAGGGAGGAGGGCTCAGAAGAAGGCCTGCCTGGCCCCGCGCTCAGAGCAGACCCGCGTCCAGCTCTGGGGGTGGGAGGGCAGGGTCCCGGGAGGAGGCTCTGTCACCTGGGCAGCACAGGGTCTGCAGCACTTGGAGACGGGAAAAGGGCGCTGCGGGTTGTGGGTGACGGTGCAGGAGTGGTCGGCCAGGACCCCTCGGCCACGTGGAGCCCACCCGGGGACGGCACTGTGACAACCTGAGGACCTGGTGGTACAGGAGCCCCACACAGGCTCACCCATATGACACTCCAGGCAACGTGGGCAAAGGCTCAGGTTGTGACCAGGTCCCCTGACTTCTGTCGTCCACCATGCAAGTTAGGCCAGCCAACCGAGGCCCCAAGCACCCACCACTTACCATCCCAAGGACGGCGGCAGCCTTACAGGTGGCGGGCACAAGGTACTGAAGGAGAATCTCGTCTTCGGAAGGGTGCACCCTCCGCAGCTCTGAGAGCGTCAGATACATCATCTCAAACTGGTTGCGCTCCGTGAACAAGTCTGAGACCACAAGAAGCTGGAGACAGGACATTTGGACAGGAAGAAGCCAGTTACGCCATCTGGAAGTATGGGACGCGGTCCAAGGCACGTGCCTAACATGCAAGACGCAATGAAACAGAAGCCCTGCGCAGGAGCCCTGACCGGGAAGGAAACCGACAAGACCCGGAGACCTACAGTGCAGGGCAGTCACGTGCCAGGAAGTGAACATGGCCCCGGACGTCGTCTCAGAAACGCCCGAGCGCACGCGTGAACTCACACACAGCCAGACACACCCCCACACACCCAGACACACACACCCACACACCTGAGGCCACTGGCATCGGAAGTGCCTGGCAGCACAGGGGACGGGCTCTCGCAGGTCCCAAAAGAGGGGAGCGGATGACTTTCAGAAATAAGCACTTAGGCAATGATTCTTTTGTCACCCCAAAATGCTGTTTTCACATTACACCAAAACATGAACATCAACTGGGTGTGAAGGCCCTCATCTGAAGCGCGTGGGGAGGCCGGGGGTGGCCCCTCCGCCAGGCCACAGGAGTCAGCAAAGCGGCTGAAGGAGGTCCTAGGTGGATGGACGCCTGAAAGCCTCTGGGTCACAAGGTCAAACCATTTCCCAGAAACACTAAGGCCTGCTGGCTCGTCTCTCCTGTGCCCTCCCAGCCGCACGCTGGTGTTCCCCAGGCGTCACCTGATACTAACAGACTGAATGCAGAGCAGATGGGAGCAGCCAGCTGACTTCTGATGAGCCAGACATTAAAGAGACTTGCAAAAATGTACAACAAGGCTCTTCTCACTACTTAAATTTGTTTTAAATAGTAATTGTTATTACTTTTATTTTTAAATGAATAACTTCTTTTTTTCAATCTAAGATCTTTAGCAGTGCTTGCCGCTTGTCGACTTTTTTGAATCAATTTGTAACTTACATTGCAAATTAAAAATAAAGTTCTTAAAAAAATCTCAACTTAACCAGATCTAAAACAACTTAAAACCTTTAAAGGAATATTGAGAAAAACAGAATTTAAAAAAAACAAACTTCATCATTACCAAAAAGAGACATCTTTAGGCAGAAAACAAAACCCTGTGCTGCACAGAGAGCGAGGATGGTCGGTCACCGGGCACTCTCCTTTTGGCTGAGCCGAGTGACCCAGAGAGGCCAGCGCTGGGTAAGGAGCTGTTTTAAAACACCTCCCAGTTCTGCAAGCACTGGTGGGTGTCACCCCAGGAACCAGCACTCTCTGGGGTCCCCACTAATCTCAAGGGTGGAAAGGACTCGCCAGGCCGACCGCTGGAGAACCACCGCTCCACATCAACGCTCCTCCGGGGCTGGCGGTCGGGGGGCCGCTGCTCACCGGCCCGCGGGGAGACAGTGTGGACGAGGCCCTGGGCCGTCAGCTCCCACGACACCTGCACCGGGGCGCGGGGTCACTCACAGATCGGACCACTTCGCTCATCAGGACGGCGGGCGTCCTCCTGGCTGAGCCCGACGGCAGGATCCAACGACTGTACAGCTCAAGCAAAAACTGAGAACAGGAGTGGATGTCAACTCCAGCCCGGTGTTTCCTGCCACACAAATTTCCCCGTACGAAGGGGAGGTTCATTTTATAAGGCACCCCAAACAGGTCAATGACCAATAAGAAATTTCAAATTGCTTTAAGACTAAAGGTCTAAAGGTGGATGGAAACCTGGAGTTGACTGGAGATGTGGGTGGTGATGTCGGAGCCGGGGTGTCGGCCTCCTCTTCCTCCTCCTCATCCCACTCCTCCTCCCTCAGTGGCGTGATGCTGTTCCCCAGCCACACGGAGTGGATGGACACCTTCGGGGACACAAGACACTGGGCTCAGCGCTCAGGGCCAGGCAGCAGGTTCCGCGAGGCTGGGCCACTGAGCTGCAGGTACGGCCCCAGGCCCGAGGCGAGTGGGCCCCCACCACCTAGCAGGGCTCATCCAGACCCAGGGGTTCTGGGCAGATGGGGGAGCAGGGCTGGAGAGCTCCGCCTTGGGGACTAAAGACCCAGAATGAGGGGCAGTCAGCCACACAGGTGCGGCTGAGGAGTCTCTAAGAAAGGACACTTCTGCTCCTGAGGGACATCGGAATAGGGAGTCGGCAAAAACTGAAACCGAACGTGGGATTTCTTTTCAAAACTGGCCCTCTCGCTGGTAGTCATTTATGGTAACCCCATTTTTCTGAATTGTTTGCTCCCTACAGACGCCAAAGGGTGATACGCTTATCCCGAGAGGGCAGGGTAGGGAGGCACTTGGGCCCCTGGGGGAGAACCTAAGGGGGCAGCACGGTGTGGGAACAGAACCCTGCTTTCTAAGGGGACCAGCACGGTGCTGAGAGGAAGCCCGTGTTCACAGCAGCACCCAGCCTCAGCCCAGTGCCACACCGAACCCTCCTCGCCCGACTGTCCCCACTTTCCTGGAGGAACTGGACGCAGTGCACAGTGACCTTCCCAGTAAACATCAACCTGGCGACCTGGCACCAGGAGCCACCGCCCCCGCCACACCGGCTGTGCCACCGCGCCTCCCGCCAGGCTGTCCGCTGGGATGTCCCCTCCGACGGCTCCACGTCCCCCCACGTCCTCCCACGTCCTCCCACGTCCCCCTTTCCCCCCACAGACCGACGCTCACTCGCTGCTCCACTTACGCTTATCATTACAGACGGAAAGCACCTTAGAGCCTCCTGGGACTGAAGAATGTTAGGTAAAACAAATTAAAGCAAACCTTCCTCCTATTTATAAATGCATTCAACCTTCCTCCAGACGTAACCAGCCCAACGAGCCGAGGACAGGCAGCAGAGGAAAAGGGGGCGGCGAGGCTGACCTGGCCGAGCATGTAGCCCGTGCTCCCCAGCTCCCGCTCGGGGTTGATCTGCAGCAGGAGCTTGTCGTGGCTGATGAGGGCACCTGTGGGGCGACAGTGCAGTCAGTGCCACCCCCGGCCACCAGGACTGCGTCCCACCCTGCCTGGTCCGGCCCAAGGAGCTCAGGGCTTTCTCTGTTGCTTCACGACCATTAAGTGGGAAGGACCAGTGGAGCAGCGGTGACTCAATTGTCATTTCTTCTCCATGACAAACCAGCTTCAGACCCTAAATGGGAACCGGCTGTGGGCTGAGCTACAAAAGCCTAAGAGTGAGGAGCTGTGGATGAAGCAGCCATCCAGCCGGCGAGCCCCTGGGGCCAGAGGGCGAGTCTGTGGTCAGCACCTCCTGGAACTGGCCTCGGTGCCCGGACTGTCCAGTCGAGCCCACCAGGAGCAAGGTGTAGGCTGACCATCTTCCCACGAACCCCTCACTGTCTTTCACACCCTCCATGCCCCTAAGTGATCCCTCACTTCCTTCTGCCAGGCACCATTTTGCCCTCCAACCTCACCAGCACCAAGATGCCCGCTTCCAAGAGGCCTGCCCCTCCCCCCAAAGGCACGGGCTCTCCCCAGAGTTCCTCGTCCCATGCCCCCTCCGCACCCGCCCTCCTGCCTCTGCACTGGCCAGTGATGCCTGTCATCTCTCCCATCAGCCATAAGCTCCTCGAGGGCCCACACCATCCAGGGTCACGGCCCTCAGTTTAATTAGGTGCCCGTCAAAGTCTGGGGCGCACACACCGCCTTTCCACAGAGTAGCTCTTCCAAGCAGAGCTTTCAAGACGCTTAAGCCTGCAAGATCTAACACCTCCTAATAAAACCTTGGGAATCACAAAACTCCAGGCTAAAACACTGTTCAATAATAAAAAACGTACACTGAAAAAAACCCCCCACAAAATTCCCTTCTTTTAGCCCAGGGGACAAGGTCCAGTGCCCACCACAGGGCGGACCCAGGGATGGCGAGGCCCCGAGCGGCCACCCGAGATGGCAGCGTGCTCTCGCCACACCAAGCTCCTTGCGAGAAGCTGGAGATCCCGCCTGTCCACAGGAACTCTGTTGACATCCCTCTGCTGCCAGCCTCTCAGCCTCTAGAACTCTGCTCCCCACAACCGGCCTGACCGTGGGAAACGGTGCTCCACTCACATCCGGACTGTTTCCTCCGGGCTGTTCAAGTCTCCCCGGGCCTGAGTGCGATGTGGACTCAGGAACCAGGGCCGCACACCGAGTGCCACAGCCTCCAAATAAAGCCAGGACCGGTCGCTGCGCACGGCTGGTGTCGAGAGCGCAGGCCCCGCCCGCACACGTACCTGTGGTGGCTGGGGACAGAGATGGCACGGGGTCCCAGGCCTGGTACGGGTGGTGGGTGGCGATGTTCTCTCTCTTGGACACCATCGCTTGGATCTCCTGCTCCACAGCTCCTCTGACAATGCTCAGCTTCCTCCCAAACCTGCAGTTCAGAGCTCCGAAAGTAGCTAGGCAGCACGTGCAGGGGCCTTGTTTTTAAGCTTGGCAGCAGAGGAAAGGGCACCCTGGCGCCCCTCTGCCCCCACCACGGCGGGGCCCTGGAGACATGCAGCAACGTGGGCGAACCTGGTGTCCAGGGCTTTCAGGGGCTTGTTCCGGGGCTGCTGTTCCAAGCAGCTCACGGCTGGGTTGCCGGCCACGGGCACAGTCATCGCGCTCAGCACCAGGGAGGTGATGGCCTGCACGGCCAGGACGTGGATCTGGGTCCTCTCCGTGTCTTCCTGGAAGGGAGCCCACACGTCACCTGGTTGTGACGCCAACGACCACCGCTGCCCACCTGCAGGCAGATGCTGCAGGCTGTGGCTGTCAGGCCACCTGGCCTTGCACGCAGGGGCCCCGTGTGCCACGGAGGGACATGTCTTCCCGGTCATGGTCCTATTCTGTCTGCATTAAGTTCATCAGAGCTGTGACTGGAAGTGAATCTCATGGGCAAAAGCCTGCTTTTCAAAGCAAGGTCTCCTACGGCACAGACCTTCAAATATGAACCACTCATAAAGAAAGAGTCCCTAACATCCTCACTGATTTTAGGGACTCTGCACTTGACAACCTGTTAGCTTCTACGCTGTGAAAGACAATCTCGGGGACTCCTGACACGCCTCCTCTCTGCCAAGCAGCGAAGACAAACGAGCCCAGGCACGTGCGCGCGGCCTTCACAGTGTGCCTTGCGTCTGGATGAGATGTCGTAACCGCTGTGCCCCAACACTGGGAAGCAGAAGTGATCTGCTTGGTGGTAAATGTGCTCCAGCCGCAGGCGCTGGAGGGCACCCGGGCCAGAGTGCTCGCTCCTGCTTCAACAGCAGCGCAGACACGGGCTGGCCGCCCTCAGACAGAAGCCTGCGCTGGCTGCCCCCTGCCCTGCGGCTGGCGACGCGCACGCTGCTGTGACTGAGCGTGCCCAGCAGCGGCACAGGCACGCCCGCGGCCTTACCTCCGGCGGGCTCTCCTCCTGCTCCATCACAAGGGGCTGAGTCACCAGCACACCAAGGAGGGTGGCCCATGTTTCCTCAAACTGGGTGCGGCTGGTCCACCCTAGGAATGCAGGCGTCCATTAGGCAGAGCCCCCGGCTCACACTGCTGGACACGTCATGGCAGCGGGGCCGCCAGCTTCCGTGCACAGCAGCTCCCTCAATCCTCACGACAGCGCTGGGATGCGGCCACAATGCCAGCCTCGCCCAGGTGGCCTGGTGGAGAGGTGCCTTCTCAACCCCCACTGTGTGGACTCGGAGGAGTAAAGGGGTGTCTCGCACTGGGTGCAGACTCGGGGCACACACCACTGCACAGCACGCTGGGTGGTGGAGTGTGTGTCACGGGAGCTCCGCGTGCAAGGCAAGCAAGTTAAAGCGAGGGCTCCTCTGACGCCGTCTGGAAGGACCGCAGGTGGGAAAGGCCTGTCACTGGCGGGGCAGCGGGAGGGCTTTGGGGAGGGCGCCCGACAGGCGTCCTCGGCGCCAGCACGAGCTGAGCTCAAGTGCTGTTCCACACACGGTGCTGAGGGCTGCGCTGACGTTCCCACTCGTCACCGTGGGGGTGGGGGTGCCACGCCGCCTGCATTCAGGTTACAAGTGACAAGAATGGGGGGTGCTGACAGGGAAACCAAAGTGACAGACTTCAGGGTGTTCTTGGTAAGCTGGGTGTAGACTGACTCAGACATAGACTCAGCTACGGAGACAGACTGGACAGTAGGGCACAGATGCAGACAGACCGACGTGACGGTCTACGCAGAACAAAAGCAGACAAGGAACAAGGACAACAGCAAAGGCGACACCAGGAAAAGACCACAGGGCCGTCTGGGGCCTGCGGGTATGGCTGACGGCTCCAGCGTGGGGACGCCGGGGGCGGACAAGAGAGCTGGTGTCAGGCTGGGGTGGGGGACCAGGAGGCTGCCTGGGGACACTCTTGGGAGAAGGAAGAAGGAAAGCCTCGAGAGGGAGCCGCACCAGACTGCTGCTCAGACATTCTGAACAGGGAGGAATCGTCTGCTTGACTTAAGGGAAAAGCAGGGGCATCAGGTGTCTGCTGCCTGAACCTCCCAGGATCAAAGCAAGCACAGACCCGCAGGAGCCGGAAGAGGGGGGCCGGCCGGACGTGGAGTCAGCGCGCCCACGCCACGCTCAGGGACAACCGTGCTGAGAAACGTCCAACAGGGCGGAGCCACAAGGGATCCACCGATGGCAACCCCCACATGCGCCAGGCCATACCTCCAGCCGTAAGGTGGGGACAAACCCTTACACCAAGCTGCGGAAAGCAGAGAAGCATCCTGATAGGAAACCAGTGATGCTACCGCTTCCTGAGGCGCTGGGTTAGATGCATCTTTTAATTTCTAAATCTGCAGCAGTTCCATGAAACTGGCACAGTCCCCACTTCACGGATGACAAAGTCGGGGGTGTCTCCCAGAGGCTAAGAAGACCTGCCCCGCCACGCAGAGTCCAGCGCGGTCTCCCTAGAGCCCACCTCCCGCGGCCCACGCTGGCTCCCGCCCCCTCGGCTGCTGGTCCTGCCCACGAGAGAAGGGGCGTCAGTGCTCACACAAGGAGGCGCTCAGAGAAAACCACCGCCACCTTCTGGCACAGGTGCACGATGCACAGGCTGAGTCAGCCTTAGTGTTAGCAATCCCTAGGGTGCCTGTCCTGACTCCAGGCAAGACTGACACGGGAAAATCTGGGATTAAACTCTCACCCACACGCAGACTTGGGTCAGATTTCTCACCGTGACAGTTTTGTATACATTGCAAGATACATTCATACTGGATGACGTTCTGCCCTAAATCTTTTATAGAATACAAGGAGGCAAGGGCCCGCCGCTGCGTGTCATGATGCGTGACCCCCAACCCCGAGGAGAAGCGCAGGCTACCCAGCGTATTGACGCGGAAGATGAACTCTTTGAAGACTTCCTTTTCCTGGAGGAACTCCACGGGGATCTCGGGGAACACTGTGCCAAAATCCCCTCCTGGTGTGGGTGACCATCCGAGCTTCCACACCTAAGAGGATGAGAAAGAAACAGTAGACAAAGTCAAGTCAGGAAGACTGGATTGTGAGGAAGACAAGAAAACACTCTTGAAGCACAGCCTCCCTCCCGAGGCCACCGCCTCTTGGACGCAGACACTCCCAAAAGCCAGTAGGTGTGCCTCCCACACCCACCGCCAGCACCATGCGTGCTGGGTTCTCAGCTGCCTCCAACCGTTAGAAGCTGGCAGGTGTCAGGACAAGCTCCACTGTGCGCAGAGACGTTGCTGGGGGCAGCACAGGACAAGCCAGGCCGCCCACAGCTGTCACGCTGAGTCAGCGTCACCCAGGCTCCCACGAGCAAAGGAACGGAAGGCCAGCCGGAGGCAGCAGGAGGCGCTGGGCTCCACACTCGCCCACAGCTCCCTGCTCCTGGGTCATCATGCCACTGGGCTTTTCCTCAGAATGAGCCTGAGTGGGAACTTTCACCTCCCACAGAAAAGCCCCCTTCACCTCCGGGCTCTAAGGCACATCGCCTCCCCGGCACGCCTACAGAACCTTCCACACGCACAGGGGCTGCGCCCTTTCCAGGCGGTGACAAGGGCCCTGCTGGCCTGCCCCCGCTGGCTCCAGCCCCACACAGGGCAGCCCACCCCCATTCAGCGGCTGCCCCGGGACAGGCCAGGCCAGCCCAGCTCCCTCTTGGCCCTCGCCCTGCCCACCCAGGCTCTGTGACCTGAAGCCAGGCCTATTAACGACGCCCACTTGAACCTCACCCTGAAGACTTTCAAAGAGCAGTCAAGCTGCAAAAGCGGCTAAAACCCACAAGCACTCCCAAAGGTGGCTACTTACAGGGGACCCTCGCTCAAGGGGTGGAACTTCTGCTCCCCCGTGAAACAGATTAGTCAAACGGCCTTAGAATCACAGCCGGCGCCCTCGGAGGTGAAGTCTTATCTCATGATGGAACGCCTCACCTCGTTTGAGAAAACTGAGTATTTCTACTAACTGCCAAGACACTTCACGCCCGAGGGAACCAGGCAGGTGTCAAGGCTGCACGTGGCTAATGCTCTGGCCGCCACAAACGGGCACCTGCGCAGACAAGACCCGGCTTCAGCCTCCAGCACCCCCGAGCCTGTGGCTTCCTGTGAGCCCCCAGATCTCGCGCTTCTGTGAAGAGGGGCCCAGACTTACCAGGGGCGGGACGCGCGTGTAGCTGTTGACCAGGGGCAGGCGGGCCAGGCTGACGACGATGTTCCGGAGCACCGGCGTGAGGAACGCCGGGGTGCTGCGGCTCCTTTCATGACCCAAGGCCAGCACCGACGGCAGGGACTCCACCATCTCAGCCACCATCACACAGGCGGCAGTAACACACTGAGGAGCTGAAAACACACACGTGGTTAAGACAGGAACACACCCCGGGACTGCTGCCTCCCCTCCCAGTCTCCCCAGCCTCCCACCACCACCTTACCAGGGACGTGGAGGCCCCGAGGATTCCAGCTGCTGGCTGACGGCCGGCACACCCTCCCACCTTCATCCCATCCAAAAAAGCGGTCCTCCCAAGTCTGCCAGGACTCCTGCCGTCCCCTTGAACTGGGGCCCAGTGCTCTGGCTTCTCTGGTTCCCCGGGACCCTGTGCTGGTCACTACGCTGGTGCGCAGAGAACATGTTGTAATCACTGGTCATGGTTCCCCAAGACTGCAGTTCTTGTGGCTGGTGGAGGGGTTCTGATGGGACTCTGGGTCCCACCCGAGAAGTCATGAGGCAGAATGCTGAGAAAACCCCACGTCCCGAGGTGACAAGCGCTGCACCTCAAGTGCAGGGACGGCTTCTTACTCACTTTGAGTCTGGCTCAGAGTGTGTGCCAGAAAGTGACTTGCTGAGCTGACAAATGAGGAGGGTCGTGGGTGGGCACTGTCCACGTCCACAAGATTCAGCAGTACAGACAACTTCCTCCCAGAGAGAAGGAATTCCCGCTGGATTTAAGGAATTGAGCCCCAAGCTAAGAGACACGAGGGTGGCTTGAATAAGACTTAAGGGATCATCTTTAAGACGTATCATCCCATCAAGGTGATAAAGCAAGCAAGCTTCTTCCTCTGGACAGGGTGAAATTAACCGGCCTAAACAGGGCCGAGGAGAGCGAGCACAATTACACAAACCCACACTGAAGGTGCTCCCGCCAGTGGGCTGGCTGCTCTGACTCAACCTGAGAAACGCCTGAACTGTCCTCAGACGGGTGGAAGTTCAAACCATAACTGAAATACGGTCTCACTCACCGAGCACTCACGGCAAGCCTGCAGCTTGCCGTGGGTGCTTTACATGTATTCATTTACATAATGCGGCGCTGGCCCCAGCAGGTGAGTCCTGTTCTTGTCTGCACTACAGATGCACGAGACAGAAGCTCGCTGAGGCCACCCAGCCAGAAGGTGGCCAAGCAGGGAGTGAGCGTCTGCATGCTCCTCAGGCATTAGCAAGAAATCATCCATCACAAACTAAGGGCTGGCAGAACCGCGCAGCCTCGAGGTAGACGCCTGGAGGAGAGCTGAGCCAGGAAAGGGGAAGTCGCTGCTCTGGACGGCTGTGCGGTCATAGGACCTCGAGCAGAAGCGGGAGGAAAACTGTGCTTCATCCCGACGATGGGAACGCCGTCAGCACCCAGGACGGCGCCGAGGCAGCATGACAGATACAGGCTGTACATGCACCTGCTACAAAAGCGTGTTTCTCAAGCCAGCGGACCCTGCACAGGATCTCGGTATTCCAAGTAAGAGTGTTCCAAAAACAAGATGGCCAAGAACCGCCAGGCGGGCCTTTGCTTCCCACCTTGGTGGGACAGGCTGCAGGCAGGCCTTCCTGCCAGACACCCGGGCCAAGAGCCCGGAGGGCCTGGTGACAAGGAGTCACTCGGCCAAGAAGCCTTCCTCCCAATCTGCCTCGCCACCATTTTCAGAGTAAAATACCTGAATTGGCGGAAAGTACATGAAAAGCTAAGCTACGTGTCTACGTCTGGAATAGGTTTACATGAAAGGTGTGGAGTTTTTCCCACAGGGAGAGGAGGAAGCCCACCAGAAAAGACAGCACCCAGGCCCCTAACGCTCTCTAGCTTCAGCTCCTCCGCGCTCCCGCGTGTTCACCCTTCCCTCCGCACAGACACTGCCCACGGCGCACAGCAGGGGGGACGCGGACCGGAACAGAGTCTCAGGCAAAGACGCGCAAGCGGGAGGTGCAGGGGGCGGGGGTGCCTGGCGGTGGGAAGACTGGCTTCCCGGGTGCCGCGGGGCACGGGAGCAGGTGCCGGGCCGTGCCAGGCAGCGTCTGTGGTCGCCCTTCAGCTTGGGGACCAGTGACAGAATGCACTGAGTTGTGTCAGGTCGGCTCTCCCGTCCAGCGTTCACACTGGTCGCTGTGAGGGCTGCTTCTGTGAATGAATTTCAAGCCCCCAAAGAAACTAGGTCAGAAGGAATGACCCTGAGACTCACTCGGAGCGCCTGAGTCCACTTCGTCCTCTCTGGCAGCCTTTGGGGTGTTAGTCCTTCTTTCTGGACCAAGAAGCTGGTCCCCAGGCTGCACCACAACTAAAACCGTAACAGAAAAGACAGAAGAATTTTCAAACATTTTTATCATCTCTTATAATTCAGATCTTCATATTCATGCAGACTTATAACATCTCGAAGCAACAGACTGCATCAAATGAAGGCTAGGTTTCCTAGAAAAGACTTTAGATAATTCTAGACAACACGACTCGATATCAATCTCCAGGTTAATCTGAAATGCACAAGGATTTGGACTCCACACTTGGACCTGCAAGTCCTTCCACCGTCCCCAGCTCTTTCCCCAAAGTTTTTATCGGACAGTTCATGACTCGTTACTGCTAAAAGCAGCAACGCAGCCCCCAAGAAGTCTGGCTTTGACAAATTACTCCCTGGATCTTCGTCTTCAAGCTGACTACAAATGGCACAGATGAAAACAATTTAAACAATGAGTCTTCAAAATACCACTCCACAATGTTAACTTAAAAATACAAAGCTGCAAAAGTCCCTCTAACATGGGAACTGTAATGTCCAATTTTTAAAATTTTGGCTAATGACCCTTGTTAAGGACACTGTCCCTCGAAACGAATGGCATTTTATTTTACGATATGTTAGTGTCACAATGCAGCGCAGAAACAAGCACTCCTAACTATGACAGAAAACAAGTAACCTTTTTACTGTAAGCGTATTAGTCTTATGATCATTTAGGACTAAAAGGATGAAACGACCGACTAGGACTAGAGATCGAAAGGACACAAATTACAAGTATTTTTATGAAAGCTGGAACTCCAAAATCTAAATGAATGACTACAAAAGCATATTCAAGCTAAATTCCAGAGCAGACTCCAAGATGCTGGAGATTAAGGCCAGGTCCGTGTTTTATCCACCTCTCCACCCCCGGCTCCTAACTCAGCACCTGGCGAGCAGGTGGCACAGAGTAAACAACTGTGGCTCGCTGTTCAGAGCCGACTACTGGTTCCGATGACATAGGACAGAAACCCCACGGTCGTGGACTCACTGGCTTCCAGGATGAAGCGCACACAGTGGATGAGGGAGCAGGCGTGGGTCACCATCTCCGGAGAGGAGAGGGCGCTCCAGAGGCCGGGCAGCTGCAGAGCCAGGCAGCAGCAGTCCAGGCCCGCCTGCAGGTCCAAACTCAGCGGGATCCGCTCGTGGACCAAATGCCAGGACAGCGCCTGTGGGGGGAGAGCATGTTAACAAAGGCTTGGCTCGCACCTCTCTCTGGACCCAGGGGCCGTCAGGGAACGGGCCACAGCTCGAGAGGCCAGCAGTACCTGCTCTTCCAGAGGGACGGCTCTCTCAGCCACCGTCCCCAGCTCTCTTCAGTTCAATCCTGACCCCTGGCTCCCTGAGAGTCTCCACCCCGCGGAACAGCCACCCCAATCTGGCCGACCCCCTCCTGCGGCTCTGTGGGCTCCCTCAGCCACCCTCCGCTGGCCGCTAGGCCTGTGGACCAGGCTCTCCCTCGGCCCCCAGGCCAGGGCCCAGCCTCTGCCACAGAGACAGCAGGCTGGGGTTCAGGTGCCGAAGGGCTAAATCCCAGTGGGTGAACCTGGGAAGTTGCTGAACCTCTCTGAGCCCCGCTTCCCTCATCTGTGAAGTGGAAACAGCCTGCCTCCCGGGGCTGGAGTGAGACCCCAGCACAAGATGCAGGGAGAGGGCTTCATCCCGCACGCAGCGGTCCCTCGGTCCTGTAACCGTACACCTGCTGCAGCCTTCCCGCTGCGCTGCTCTCTGGCTCGGCCTGGTGCGAGCAGCACTTGCACGGTCACCTGTGCGAATGCCCCCGACCCCTTCCCTCTCTGCCGTGTAGGGGCAGGTGCAGTCAGGGCTGGGTCAGCCGTGTCCTCTGCCCGCCCAGGATGCAGGCCAGACCCACTTTTCCAGAAGTCACATGAAAAGGCAACAGACCCACAATATGTACACATGTCTGGGGTGTTTACAAGCGTTAACACAGTATTCAATTCCCCGTAGCTGAAATGTCAGGTTAATTGCTCAATTTAAAATACAGTAAATTTCTCAGATTACTATTTTTAAGTATCTAAAACCAGGATCAATGTTGTTTGCGCTACTTCTTCCCCTGGAAACGATTTTAAATGGATGGTCTGTGCTGAAATCAAACGCATTCCAGCATCGAGGAAACAGATTCACACGTTGGCAGTGCCCTGCCCCTCACTGTATTCAAAGACCCCGGAAGGTCTGTACTCATCTCACCACCACCGTGCTTCTCCCGGCCTGAGCACCCCCGCCCGACACCCCCAACCCTCCAGATGGGAGAGCCTTCCTGCCACCCCTCCTCCCATGCAGCTGCCTCTCACCTCGACAGTCACGACCACAAACTTCACGGTGTCACGCTCCTTCTCAGGAGGAAGGTGCAAGTGTCCGGGCAGCTTGGGGAAGAGCAGCAGGAACTGGGCCAGGGCCCGGGCCAGCGTGGTCAGGGACCGGTACAGCGTGGCGTCCCCTGAAACACAAGCCTCGGTGGGTTGGCATGCCTTGGGCAGAGGCTCCCAACCCTTGACGGGCTGGCGGTCCAGGGCTTCCCTGAGCATCAAGGGAAGCCAAAGGCACGGCGTCTCAGGAGAACGCCCGCCACACAGGACCCGTGTTCCCGAGGCCCGGCCTGCGCTCCCCATGGGCTCCGTGGAGGAGGGACACGGTGGCCCCCGCGCCGGAGGACACGCAGAACTGCGGCCCAGCGCCGGGCCCAGTGACCTCTGGAAACACCGACCATGTGTTAGATCAACAGCGGTCACTGTTTTACTCGGTGCAAAGCATGGCACTGGCCCTGCAGCATTTTTATAAAATTAGACAAGTGTTTACTTTAATTACCAAAGAGATCATCCAGCTTGCTCCAGTAGGTGGTGGGCTCCACGGGCAGAAAGGGCTGGAAAACCTGGTGGGAGTCGGGGAGCTGCTGGACCACACCTGTTACACGGTCTAGAGTCGCCATGCGGGCCGCTTCAAACAGGGGGCTCTTCTGGCCTCCACGGACCTCGCGCACGCCCAGGCCCAAGCACGGGGCCAGCAAGCTCAGGTTGAACTCCTGCATCAGAGCAGTAAAGGTTCACCAACGACTAGCACACAGGCTCTTCGTCAGGCACGAGAGACACGACAGACGGGGGCAGCGCAGACGCTTCCAAGATGGACAGGTCAGGGCACACAAAGTATTCTAAAGAAAACCTGATTCTACTTCTGTTATAAACAAACGAGCAGCTCCATGTAACATATGATCAGGAAAGCAGATTTCTGGTATCATTCGAGTACTTTAATTTCAAAGAAATATTTTAATTGTTTATGCCTTCAGATTCATTTGAAATCAAAAATTTAATATGAGGATACTTTAATTGATAAAAATACGAAATCAAGCTGATGTGCTGTCCAAGAAATCAGTGAAACAGCCAGCGTGCCCAAGGTTTGAGAAAGATAAGTCATGTTCAAAAGCAGCTGAAATCAATCAAAGTCGCCAGATAAACGCCACAGGTCTGATCGTAAAAATGGCATCGCACGTGATAACGTTTCAATCTGTACTGTTCTTTGACTTTTTTTTAAAAAGTCCTTTAAAGATTTTTTTGGGGAGAAAAAAGGTTTTTCTGGGCCAATTATCATGTGGAATATTAACCGTAATTCAGTTACTATTCAGAGCTGTGTGTGTCATGTCGGCAACCACAACGGAACCCTCCGTCATAGCCGCCACGGCCAAGCTTTTCCTCAAAGCTGTTAAATGTCCAACTAGCAAATTTGAAAAATTCAATAAACTGGTTATTAAGTAAATTGATCATTCAGCAAACCAGACTTCACTGCATGGCTGTTTAAAATGGTCAGCAAACTGGTTTTGGGCCGATTCTCCTGTCTTCTCAAGGCAGCTTTTATTTCACGGTGATGGAGGAAGGGGACTTGGGGAGGCGTGGCTGTGTGGCCTGTGCCCCGAGCCCCTGCCATGCCTGACCCATTCTCCACTGCCCCCTGCCTGCACCCTGCTGCCCCCCTCCAGTCCCCGCTTCACTCCCGCTTGGTCCCTCTCAAGGCAGCACACCACCACCTAAGGGTTCATCGGCCACTCCCCTGGAGGTCGGAGAAGGCACAGGCTAAGGCTGCGGCCAGGTGCTGCCACGAGGGGGGCCACCCCCAGCGGACCTGCCACAGGAGCTGGGGACAGGGTACAGGGGCTCTGCGCAGCAGAGCCTGTGCGACACCTAGTGAGGGGGTGGGGGGACCCTGCTACCACAGGCAGAGGGGTACTGAAGGGCAACTTCACGGCCAAGACCAGGCCAACACGAGTCAGTCAGACCACGTGCTGCGGCCCCAGCCCGACAGCCTTCCTCACGAGCACAGGACAAGCAACTGGAACTCATCATGACCCACAGGAATCTATCTTCTTTGAGGGCCTGGGAAGCTGAATTAAACACAGCTCCTCCTCTGGACTCTGATGTGGGAAGTGACACGTGCTTTCGGGTCATAGCCCTGGACGAGGGTCTCTGTGCCGAGGCGGCGAGGTGCATGGTGCACGGTGTACGCAGGTCACCGGACAGCGGGAGGGTCAGACCCACGCGCCCAGCGAGAGAAAGCCGGCGCCCCCCGCCCCCCGCCCCCCGCCATACCGCGTGCATCATGAACGCGCTCAGGTCGCTGGGCGGGATCCGATTCACCAGCTCTGCCCCTTCCAGCAGTGCAGAGTCCGACCGTGTCCAGCACTGCGACCTAACCAGACGTATGTACCAGTCCTGGAGGAAGAGGAGGGGGGTGACAGACGCAACGGCGCAGGGCTTTCAAGGGCTGCAACGCTACTGGACGTGCGCTGTTCTTCACCGACTGACCCCCGTGCCCTGCAGCGGCCCCGGGACTATGACCACAGCTTCGGTCAAACTGGACTCCGGCCGTGCGAGCTGTTCTCCACACCATGGGCCTTTCCCACAGGAAATGCTGCCTGCCACGGAGGCTGCATCTCGGGACTCACCATTACCCGTCTGGACAGCCTTTCTCCTCACACCTGCCCCTCAAAACAGTAAACCACTGAGGGCAGCGGGCCCTCCTGTCTGTGCCCTCACTCTCTGTCCTCCGTGCTGAGCACCGCACTGATCATCTTCCACCGGCGGTCTGCTCTGCCGCCCCGCCCCCGGGCGCAGAGCAGCAGAGGCACGGAGCAGCGCAGCCTGAGGACAGGGGCCTGCACTGTGCTGAGCTGCGCCTGGGCTGCTGGATTTTGAAATCCAAGTTCATATCCAAACCGAACTCTCTCCAGGCCCCAGGTGGTCCCCAGCTCGGAGGTGTGAGGGCTGAGGGGATGAGGTATCAGGCCCTTGGGGCAGTGGGGTCAACGTACAGGTCACAGGTGTAAACAGGGAGACAGGCCAGGTGGGCCATGCTTGCAGGCTGCGCAGGCGTGAGTGCAGGCCACGGCCACCGTGTCCCCCATCTCCCGATTCTTTATTAATTACCTTGACCCTCAGCCCCGCTAATGACCCAAGTCAGCGCTTCCCTTCTCACCCCATGCCCCCAGCTAATGACCTGGGCTGGGCCTCACAGACCCTGTCGCTGACTCTCTCCACAGCCGGCAAGAACCAGGCAGGCGGACGCCCTCGGGGGCCACACGGAGCACCTCCACCCCGTCCCCAGCCGCTGGACGACAGAGGTACTCGGTGCCTGGAGGGGGCCCTGTGTGTCACCTGCAGACCTGCTGGATACCTACCTTGTCTGGACTCACTGTCTCCAGCACCAGGGGCCCATCCCCGTCCAGCGGGTGGGGTGTGGCCAGAGGAGCGGGGCCACGCGACCCTGGCGCGGTGGCGAGACGCAGCCTGTCCAGCAGGGAGTAGAGCCGCTGGTGCCTGGAAGCCAATCACACGCAGGGTCAGCACACTGCCCGCCGCACAGGAGGAAGTCACAGGCGCTTCTTATGGCAGGTGCAACACGTGTGAGACCTTCTGTTCAGAGCTATTTCTTAAGGACACTCAAACAAGTCAGGATGCAAATTCAGGCCCTAGTTTACATGTAATAAACACAGTTTTAAGTCCCACAAATGTTTTTCAGAAATTTCACTTACACTCAAACATTGCAACAGGAAACACCTGGTGTAACAGCTGGCAAAAGCACTTGTTACAAACACAGAACAGATCACCGAGCATCCAAGCGCACAAAGCCTGTTCACTCTCCCAGCAATTCACACCCACCTCCTACCAGAGTCACCTCATCGGGCACAAGACATGGATAATCCTCCTCATCTGGGCTGGATACTAAGTCTAGGGTCAAAGACAATCAAGTCTGACCCCCCCCCCACCTGCTATGGGAGCAACTGCGTCATAATGCAAATCCCAGCTTCACCCGCCCGGCAACGGACAAGCCACCTCTGAGCGCCTGCTGTGCTGGGTGTAGCCCCTTCCCAGGCAGACGCCACCAACAGCTCCTCGTGAGACTGGAGTCACAGCACGGTCACTAGACTCTCTCTCACATCCTCCCCCCTTGTGACAGAAAGAAGGTCAAAGCCTCTCCCAATTTATTTTGGAGTCATGGAAACATCCTCAGGTAACAGATGCCAAGATTTCTGACAAAGCCTCTAAAAGACTTTGCAAACAGAACTGGGTGATAAACAGCTAAAAGGAGACAAAATTTTAACAAGATGCAGAAACGACTCTCGCGCCTTTCAGCCTTCAAGTCTTCGTTAGCAGTCAGACTGTGGCTTTGATTCCACAAAGATGCAGCCGAGAACTCAGTCCCAGTCGTCACAGATGGTAAGCAGAGGCGACGGGACACCCGCCACCCCCGGAGGCCCACAGAAGTGCGAGCGCGGCGGCGAGAATGCCGCAGAGGTGACACTGCCGGCTGCTCCTCCCTTTTGTAAAGCGAGATCTGCTTTGTTTCCCCCGATTGGAGCGGCCTCCCTGCAGCAAGCGCATCTACAAGTGCGCAGCCTCTCGTCCCGAGCCTGCCCCTCCCAAACTGCAGTCGCTGCGACAAAACGCAAGGAGCGCCCGGCCCCAGCATTACCTCTGGGCCAGCCCGCTGCTCTGAAGGTATCCCTGCATTCTGTTTAGTTCTTCCACTGGCACCTGGGCCGTGCTGCTCTGAAGGAGACAAGAACACGTCAGTGGGGTTGTGACACACAACAAACCAAGTAAGCTTGTGCTCATTTAAAAAAGAAAAAGGGACGTGTACAGCTTATCACAGCAAAGGCAGGCCAGAAGGAAGGCAAGCAGCGTTCGTATCAGACACACAGGAAGGACCAGCTTATACGTTTCCTTCAGTGGCCACTCAGAGCAAGAACCAGTCAGTGGTTTGCTCGCCCAGCTACGTCTGCAATAAAAACCAACACCATTGTTTCTTTCAGTACCTGCAAATTTGCAGCCAAAAGCATCTCTACCCGGCGACAAGCAAGGGTGTCGACCATGCGAGCCAGCACACGCAGCGGGGTGCACAGGAGCTTGTCCACGTACAGTGTCAGCACAGCACCCGACTGGCTCAGGTGGATCCCCTCCAGGCACTGGAGAGTCTTCTTCAGAGCAGTGGGCTGGGGTTGGGGGGAAGGACAGGAAAGGTGGAGAATTTTGCCACCTGGAAGTGAGCGTTAAAAACGCTGACACCCCACTTGTAAGGCAGGGAAAACGCGCAACAGTGGGCACCAGGGAGACTTACAGTTGAAAGATTTTCACAGCGAGACTGAATGGCCTGGATGAAAAGGCCGCTAGCCGCGGAATTCCGGTGGACAGCACTGATGAAGTCCTGCACGGGGGGCTCGTGGGACAGGGTGATCAGGTCCTGAACGTGGTTCACGATGAGCCATGTCAGGTGCTCTGAGTCATGCAGGTTCTGGCACTGCGGACAAAGGCAACAGGGAGACCATTTTCAAATGACAAGGAGGGAACAGAGGCTAATGCCGCAGGAAAGGCCAGAGGGCAGGAAGCGAAAAACAACCCCACACTAATCCTCCCTGAAAATCTCCGGTGTCGGAGCAGGGACAACCGGTGGGTGGGAACACGCTCTACAGGGCCCGTTGCCCCCAACGTGCACTGCGGCCCGTCTGTGCCGCTTCAAGGGACACTGGCCAGCGGGCAGAGGCGGAGAGGAGTGTGGCCCAGGGCCACCCAAGGGCGGCAGGGTGACTGGCCCAAGCCCCGCCACGAGCAGGCCCCGCTCCCTCCAGGATCGCTCTGGCCTCAGCGTGGCCTGCTGACGGGTCTTCCCTGTTACTCTCTCTCCAATTGAGGGACAGGTCAGTAGAAAAAAAGAATTCCCTGTAACTGTCACGGTTCTGACAGAATTCCTGAATCCAAAATACAAACAGATCTTAAGGGAAGAAATTTCACGGAAGACGTATAAAGAGATACAAAGTATCCATCTTAAATCCACATGTTGCCTTTCCTTGTGATTAATGAACTTCTAGGCAGCAAATTGTAAAACAAAAAGAACTCTTCAACATCGGGTTAATGATTTATAGTTTCCACGTGGGATAATTTGATAGCATTAACCTATAAAATTAATATATTTCTTACTTTTTTGTGAAAACAGAAAATAATTACACCAAATTACTCCTCAAAAATGGAACAAGATAGAAGGACTATTTCAACATCAAGAATTTAAGCAAAACACGAAGATTAGGCAGGTGCTAGTCTGCAAGGAAAGTGCGGGCAGAGAAGCCTCTTCTCTCAGGACCCAGGAGGCCCCGCAGCGCGCTGGCTTGCGACACGGGCATGTGGCACCGTGCCCACCGTGAGGAACACGCCCCTCGCAGCAGCGCGGACAAGGCGCGAAGCCCTGGGAGAGTCCAACAGCAGGTCCTCTCTGAGTAATACGCTGACAGATTTCATTTTCTTCTACTTACTTACTTAGTTTTTGTAAATTTTCTCTGTTCAACAAGTGATGCTAGTTTTATGGTCAAAATCCCCTGTAGAGTTATTCTCTTTAATAAAAGAATGACATTCAAACAGGAATCTGTTTTAAAAGGCAGCAATGAAATCTAACACCCTTTCCACAGATTAAAATCATTTTTTAATGAGACCTGCACAGCAAACATGGAGCCTCCCTCCTGGGGACAGCCGCGCCCAGCACCGTGAGCGGGACAGCGCCGAACCTTTTACAGACAGACTTAAAACCCCAGGCTGCTTGCTGGTCGTACATCACAGAAGGATTCAGCCTTGACTTTGGTCTCGTGCTGACGGGGGAAGGCACCTGCAGAAGTTCGTCTGCAAAGGGAGGCCTCCAGCCCCAACCCCGCCACGACCCGCGTTTCCACACTCACAACATAGTCGCAGAAGAGGATGAGGGCTCCCCGCCGCACAATTTCTCTGTTGCACACGCCCAGGCTGGAAGCCAAGGTGGAATCCTCCCCCTCTCCAGACACCAGGGGGCTGAGAGACTTCGTGCCGGACAAGCTGCGTCTCCTAGAAGGAACAACAGACGCTCGGACAGTGTTTCTGAGATGGCAGCCGGCTTACTTTCGAAACCCTGAAGACGGCTGCTGTCCAGTCCCGGTTCTCAAGCAGACAGTTCCTTCAAACACAGCAGCGTGCCGTGTGTCAGACGTACGTACTCGCGGCTGCCTGTTCCTGAGCCACGACAAAGCACACACAGAAAACGAAGGAAAACAGAGGGTTCAACGGGCAGAAAGTGACAAGGCTGGTCTGGAAGGCGGCTCTGCCGTCAAGCTGCGCGAGGCACCGATGCTCTCCTCCGGGACCTGCCGCTGCCTGGGTCTGAGGGTGCGGCCGCTGCTCCCGGGCTCCCGGGTCCAGCCGGGCGAAGCCGCCGAGCGCCAGCAGGAAACCGTCACGCTTTGCTCCTCCATTAGCAACAAAGTGTCCAACCCCAGACACGCCACAGGGTGTACGCCATCACAGACACCCTGTTCAAAAGCATCTGCAAAATTAATTCCCCACGAGTGATGGTCCTGCACTCCACGTTTACTTCTCACTTTGTTTTCTTTCTAAGGAGACGGGAATTGGACTCTCAGTTCTAGCCATACCCTTAAAACATCAGTCGCCACACTTGGAAACAGGCCATGTGACTCCAGGGTCAGCAGGACCACACTCCCCTCCGCACAGGGAACCTGCACACCTCCGCTGGGCTCAGCGGACGTGGCGAGGACATCGGGGCAGGAATCCTCGGGGGTCTGTCAGTTTTTAAACTGCAACGCCTCAGGATTTAGAAAAGAATTGGTACAAAAATTCTACAGACAAAAGAATTTTAAATGACCATTTCTCTGTTTTCCAGCTGGTGAGTGGATAAGCAAAACTGTGGCACATCTGTACCAGGAGACCCTGTAGCAACCACAAGGGACCACCTCCCACACGCGTGACACGGACGGTGGGCTCAGCGAAAGAACCAGCCTCCGCAGGGGGTCACCGCACGACTCCGTTCACTGCGCGCCTGCAGTCGGCCGGACGTCAGGACGGGGCTTGGGTCAGAGGTCACCCGGGGTGGCCAGGGCGGGGGTGCCGCACAGAGACACAGGGAATTTTCTGAAGTGACAGTACTGTTCTAAATCCCAGCTGTGGTGGTGGGAATGTGACTCTGTTTGGTACAAAAAAGGGCATTATACTGCACTGTAAATTATACGTCAGTTACGAACTAACAAACAGAAAACCCTCCCTTTCTCAGTCAGCCCTCCTGCTGGCCCCCGTGTGACTTACGTTCAGGCTGTGACTGTGTCTTGAACAGCAGAGCTATAAGGGAAAAGAGCCTGTGAAGGACACGGGGAGAATCTGCGACTCACACACCAGCAGGGGACACCAAGAAGCTCCGTGTCAACCCAATCTCTCAGTCTGCAGCAGGGCAAGCCCCCAAGATGGCGGGACAGACCGACAGTACACGGACCTCCCAAGTCCAAGATGGCCGCCCATCAGGGACCAACAGTCCACAAAAGTAGGCCAGACGGAGCGCAAATCACGAGCTGTCAGGACGGGGTCCCAGAAGTAAGACGTAGACAAGAGCAGACCCCACTGCGGTAGCCGCGGGCTCTTCCAGGGGCGGTGCTGCCCAGAGTGCGGCCTGGGAGCCCGCGCTCAGCTGAGAGCCAGTGGTGCCGGGCTGGGCACAGAACCTCTGCAACAGTTTGCTAGAGCAGTTCTGTGTCTGCTGAGTCTACAAGCAGAAAACAATGGTTTGTACTTTGTATTCCAAACTTCTAGTAATTCATTTTGACTATCTTTTGGAAATGGAGACACTCATCACCAAAACCAGACAAAGACACCACAAAAAAAGAAAATTGTAGGGCAACATCCTTGATGAAGACAGATGCAAGAATCCTGCACGAGACACTAGCAAACCGAAGTCAACAGCACACAGAAGCGCTCACACCCCACGACAAGCAGGATTTACTGCAGGGATGCAAGGATGGTCCAACACCTGCAAATCAATCAGTGTGCTACGTCACGCTAACAGAACGAGGAGTTAAAGACATACGATCATCTCAATAGGTGCAGAAGAAGCTTCCGACGAAGCTCAACGTCCATTTATGATAAAAACGCTCTGTACACAGAGGACACACCTCAGCATAAGAAAGGCCACACGTGACAAGCCCAAAGCTACATCATACTCAACGGTGAAGAGCTGAAAGCTTTTCCTCTAAGATCAGAAACAGAACGAGGATGCCCACTCTCACCACTTTTATTCGACATAGTACTAGAAGTCCTAGCCACAGCAATCAGGCAAAAAAAAAAAAAAAGTAAAAGAAAAACAAATAAAAGGTATTCATCAAATCAGAAAGAAGTGTAACTTTCAGTAATTGCAGATGGCATGACACTTGGTATACACAGAAAACCCTCAAGAGGCCACCAAAAAACTGTTAGTTCTAATAAATGAATTCAGCAAGGACACACAGGACACACAGGACACACAGAAGCCTGCGGCATTTCTATACGCTAATAACAAACCATCAGAAAGAGAGATAAAGAAAACAATCCCAGTCAGAAAGAATAAAATACTCAGGACTAATTTAACCACAGAGGTCAAATACCGACACGCTGAGAACTCCAAGACACTGAATGACAGAAGGTGAAGACGACAGACGTGGAAGGAGAGACACCCCACGCTCGTGGGCCAGAAGAATCAACACTGTTAAAATGCCCACATTACCCAAGGCAATCCACAAATTCAGTGCCATCCCTATCCAAAAGCCAGCGGCATTTTTCACAGAACTTGAACAAAAACTTCTAAAATTCACATGCAACCACAAAAGATCCCAAATAACCAAAGCAATCTAGAGAAAGACGACTGGAGGTGTCACATGCCCTGACTTCAAACTATACTACAAAGCTACAGCAATCAAAACTGCATGGTGTTTTACAAAGAATAAAATGATGCCATTTGCAGCAACACAGATGGACCTGGAGATCGTCATTCTAAGTGAAGTCAGCCAGAGAGATACCACATGATACCACTTGTATGTGGAATCTAAGGGGGGGAAAGGGACAAGTGCACTTATTTACAAAACAGAAACAGACTCGCAGACATAGAAAACAAACATATGGTTACCAGGGGGGAAAGGGGTGGGAAGGGATATTGGAAGTTCGAGATCTGCAGGCACTGACTACTGCGTGTAAATAAAATAGATAACACCAAGGTCCTACTGCACAGCACAGGGAGCTGTGCCCAGTATCTTGTAATGCCCTTCAATGAAAAAGAATGTGAAACGAATATATGTGTGTATATGTATGATTGAAACATCACGCTGTACACCAGAAACTGACACAACACTGCTTCAATAAAAAAATCTTAAAAACAAACACAAAAAAATTGTGTGGTGTTGACACAAAAACAGACACATGTATCATCGCCGGAACAGAACACAGAGCCTAGAAACACACTCACACGACAGTGTGCGCTCTAACAGGTGGACATAATCAACCCGGGGGCTCTCGCACGCATGCCTGCATGTTCACCTGTGACACTGGGCAAGCTGCTTCTCCGGGAAAAGAGGCTTCCTCGTCTGTAACACACGTGCAGGGCTGCAGGCCTTAGCGAGTTACTGCGATGGAAAGCCCTCAGGACATCTGGCACTTAGTGCCATGGAAGTGCTAGCGTGCTACATGTGACAGCACATGATACATGTTCACTGATACGTCATTGCTGTTCCTACTGTCAGGGCAATTAAGTCCCTAACTCATGTGAGTGCTGGGAATACAGTGAGAGCCCTGCTGGGCTTATGGTGTAGAGGGAAAGCCAGATATTAATCAGATTATCACACACAAACAAATGACAAATTACAGCCTCAACACATGCCATGGAGGAGAGGCCAAGGCAGGCGTGAGAGCAGGCAATGAGACTTCACCAACCAGAGAGCAATCAGGAAGGCTTCCCAGAGGAAGTGATGATTGAGCTGAGAACCCACAAGCTCAAGAAACCGTAAGTTCAACTCTAAAAAGCTAGCAGGAAGTAAATCAACACAACGAAGCCCACGACTGCACCTCAGAACCCGTCTGCCCTTGCCAGCTCTGGGGGAACCACCTCCTGTAAGGGCTCAGCCAGGCCACCTGTTCTCTCACCTAAAACTGTCATGTCCCCATTCCCAGGTCCTATTTTCCTCTAGAGCAAAACTCGTCTGAAGAATTGTCTAGAGCTGCTCTCTAAATCTCCCTCGTCCATGGTTTTTCCTTAACTTTTATTTTGAAAACTTTCAAACCAAAAGAAAAGCTGAAAGAGTAATTCAAGGAACAGTCACACAGTCTTCACCCAGATTCAGCTACTAGCACGCTGCCACCCTTGTGCTCAGGCTCGCACTCCCCCGCCACACACACGCACACACGTGCGCACGCACACCACACACACATGATCTGGGGGCTGCACCACGTGAGAGTGAACCTCAACACGTGACCCCCAAGAACTACTCATAATCAAGGGCAGCAGGCTGCGCAGACTCACATTCAGCACACCCGGTTGTCTTAACAGTGACCGTCCAGTTGATTCGTCCCCTGGATCCAGATGTAACCACGGATCATAAAACTGCTCGGGCCTGCCACGCACACTTGCTTCTTTTTGTCTAAGCAAACCACTCTCCACCTTCCACGGCGCTGGCTGAGCCTGCTGGAGAGCCCAGCTGCGTCTCTGCGGAAGGCCCTCCCTCCCCCAGGCCAGGGTCAGCCCTCCCACTCCCTCTCGACCTCACTCCAGGTCGGCCTCCGCCCTCACCACCCACGAGGTATCAAAAGGCAGAGGAGGAGGAGTCGAGAAGCACTGAGGGTGCGCGGGGGTGGCGGGTGCCGCCTCAACATCTACCTACCCGGCACCCGCCAGCGCGGACAGCTGACCGAAGCCCCGCCTCGCCACGGTTCACCCGGTGCGACTCGGCCCCAGCCGCCCATGGGGGTCCCCCAGGGAGCCTGGAAAAACACAGGAGCCCAGGACCCCAGTTCCTAAAGTGTCCAGCCACCAGGTCTGACAGTGGGCTGGGGCACAGGCTTGGTCCTTGGGAGGATCCTCAGCACTCAGAGCAGGCTCCACGGACCTGGGGGTCAGCACCACCCAGGAGCCTGGCAGAAACGCAGAGCCCCGGGCCCTCAGCCATTTGTTGACTCAGAATCTGATGTCACGAGCTCCCAGCTGGTCTACATGCACAGTGGAAACACGGAAGTGGAAGACACTGGTTTTGCTTCTGACTCGCACAGGGCGGCGTCATGACAGAATTTCAAATGTTCTCACTGGTCTGTCCTCCCAACTAAACGGCAGACACTTGGAGGGCAGGAAACGGCTCTTACTTTCCTGGCCACCCCACACAGTACCCCGCAGAGCATCCCGCACGGCACCCCATGGAGCACACCACATGGCACCCTGCAGAGCACACCGCATAGGGCAGCTGTGTAGCAATGCCTGCTCACGGCGGCTTTTCCACCCGAAGCGATGGACTGGCCAAAACGGGGCCCCGCAGCCTCACTTGCATAGCTGAGGCTCCACACGGAGCAGAGAGGGGCTGACTCCGACCCCGCAGTCCTCGCCCTCTATTATTTCCAGACCTTCCTCTCCTCACCATGGGCTCTTGAGCCTTCCAGAAACCTTGCACCGAGGACTTGGCTTGCAGGGGTGGGGCACCAAAACTTTCACCTCCACGTATGTACACGTTTCTGAGAGAGAGTGCCTAGAAATTAACTTAAAGCTAAAAACATTTTTGCCAAGAGGGCCACCCACAATCAGATAGTGAGTAAGTCTTTGAATGCCAAAAAGGAAGGTATTTCCAAGTAGTTCTGAAATGCTGCTAAATAATCACTTCATTGAGAATAACCGGAACCACATGGAACCTCTAAAGAAGTTAAGATATTGCAACGTGTCTTGCTCTGGAGCCAGTTTAAGGATGAGAACCCAGCAGGAGGGACCCAACGCGTCAAGCATGCCCGTAACACGAAACGGCATCAGGGCACTTGTCAAAGGAATCGCGCGTGAGCAGCAGTGGCAGCTTCGCCTGCCTGCAGTGGGACCACACTTCCTCACAGCGGCCTCCACCAGAGAAAGAGTAAATGTAGCAGAACCGTTACAGAGCCTCAGGAGAACGGGGCCAAACCTCAAGCTGCTCGGTCTCGCGCAGGAGTCGGCACGTACTTGGGGGTCTGCTGCACCTCCGCCCACCAGCGGTAGTCGGTGTGGCTGACCAGCAGCAGGATCTGGCACCAGAGCAGCACGAGGGCCGGGTGGGTGGGGACCATGGAGCGCACCCAGGCGTTCAAGCGCTCCAGGCTGTAGAAACTGCCGTCGGTGCCCTCGGTGAAGAGTCTAGAGGCAGCTGCCGTGATTCTCCGGAACATCCCTGGAAACAAACCAAAGGTAAAACTGACCACAGGGAAGTGTCTTTGCCGCCCCCTCTCCGCAGCGCCCTCCTGCCACAGGGCCTGGAGAGACCTCCCGAATTCACCACTTCACTCTGTCCCCTCCGCAGCCTCCACCCCCAGCTCAAAGTGCCTCTCCCTTCACGCTGCCACCGGCTGGCCTTCACCCCAGGACACGGGGACACGCACATGCCGCAAAGCACAGGGGGGAAGGCGGAGGGCTCGGCGTGGATGGGAGCTGGCTGGCGCCCCGCCCCTCATCTCAGGGCTCCTGGCATCAGTGGAGAGAGTCAAAATGTTGTCTCTGATTTAAATTTCAGCACATTCCGAACACAGAAGAGCCCTAAAGCTGGCAGAGCAAGTGGGCCACAGGCCCCTCCTCACTGCTTCGCGACTGGTTACACTGATGCCCTGAGGCACGGGAGGGGAGCGGACGGAAGTTCGATATTACAAACAACAAAACCCCGACAAGAAGCTTCCCAGCGCGCAATTCTTCTCTGGGCCACGGTGAGGTTAGGCCTCCAGCCCTGGCCTGGTCCTTCTCTGTGCCTCCATTATTCCCCGGGCTCCCCGTCGGGTCAAGGATGCCAGGGAAGAGGCGAGCGCTGGCCCGGAGAAGCCCTGGAGCCAGGCAGGGGGGCACGGAATGACAGGCTCAGGGCGTGGGACCCACTGAGCAGGCAGCAGGAAACCACGGTCAGAGCTGTGACCCAGACGGCTGAGCGACAGGCAGCCCTCGACTCAGACTGTGGCTCTACCGTTCCTACTTGGTGACCCTGGCCGTGCGCGGCCTGGGGCCTGGCCCCTCACGTGTGGGATGGAATTAAGAGCAGCAGCTGCTCACAGGGCTGCAACAAGGCTCAAATCATAAAACCCGAGCCCAGGACTCGGCACAGTGCTGGATGAAGCACATGGCCAGCAAGCAGGCTGCTGCTGGAAGGATGTGAGGAAAGCAGGGGGAGGGGTGGGGTGGGGGGCTGGCGGACAGGCAGAGAGTCAGGGGCCCGCAGGTGGCGGGGGCAGGGGTGTCTGAACGTCTCTCACGAAGGATGCCAATCAAGTCACGTCAACAAGAGGAAGCAGCTGGAGAGGAGCCACGCCGGCGACGGGCCTGACTTCAGTGTGCGCAAGGTGCCAGCAGGACACCGAGCCACGTGTCCAGAGGTGGAAGGAAACAAGAGACTAAGGCCGCCAGGACAGTGCAGTGACGTGACCAGTCATCTCTCAGCGACGACCGAGGCAGGTCACGAAAGCGACGTTTCTACTAGGCAGAAGGGCCCAGGAGGGAGACGGGGAGCAAGGACAGAACCCCAGCGCTGGAGCACGCGATGGATGAAAGCCGGTCTCCTCAGTGACCTGTGCTGGGAGACCCCGATCTGCACAGGCAAAGAACGAAACTTAGACCCGTCTCACGCGACTCACAGAAATTAACGCAAGTTGCAGACCTGAACCATACACCTCCTAGAAGAAAGCGCAGGGGAAAAGTCTGACACTGGTCTTAGCGATGGTTTTTTTTGGATCTGACATCAAAAGCAAAGGCACCAAAAATGCAAATAAACAAGTGGGACATCAAACTAAAATGCAAAGTGATGGAAACCATCCACAGAATGAAAAGGCAACCTACAAAATGGGAGCAAGTATTTGCAAACCATGCATCTGATAAGGAGTTAACTTCCAAAATATGCAACAAACACATAAATCAATAACAGAAAAACCCAAATAATCCAATTAAAAAGAGGGCAAAGGACCTGAATAGACATTCTTCCAAAGAAGGCATTCAAATGCCAACAGGCCCATGACAAGGTGCTCAGCACCCCTAGCTGCCAGAGGAACGCAGGTCAAAACCGCAACGAGACGGCGCGGCGCGCCGCTGAGGACGGCCGCCCTCAAAAAGGCGAGGAAGAACCAGCACTGGGAGGACGTGGAGAAAGGGGAGCCCTCGCGCCCTGCTGGTGGGGGTGCGAGCTGGTGCAGCCACTGTGCAAAAGAGCACGGAGGTTACTTTAAAAGTTAAGAACAGAACTTCCGTTTGCTCCAGCAACCCCACTTCCGGGTGTTCACCTGAAGGAAACAAAAGCACTCCCTCAAACACACCTGCACCCTGGGATCCTGCAGCGTTTCTCACAGAAGCCAAGACGGCGAGACGAGCCAAGCGCCTCCTGAGGCTGTGGGTACGGAAGACGGCTCTCTCGCTCTCTCTCTCGCTCTCTCACACACACACACACACACACAATGGAATACTACTCAGCCATTAAGAAAAAGAAGGAGATCCTGCCGTTTGCAGCAACACAGACAGGGCTTGAGGGCGTCGTGCTACGTGAAGTCAGACAGAGAACGACTCTGAGACCTCACATGCACGTGGATGTGAGAAATCCAGACTCACAGATACAGCGATCAGACTGACAGCTGCCAGAGGCGGGCGGCTGTGGGCGCAGGGGCGGGTGAAGGACTGGAAGCCGAAGACTCAGGAAGGCGCGCAGCTGGCCAACTGCTGCAGACGCACAGAAGGAAGGAGAGCCGGGCGCGGGGCGACAGCAGTGAGCCCTGAAAACCGCGCGCTGGAAAGCTGCGCAGTAACAAGAGGAGGAGGACCCTGAAGGAAGCAGCAGAGCAAAGAAAGGGCTGAGTCTCCCTCGCAGGTGGGGTTATCAGGGCAGCTCTCAGCAAGGAGGGAAAGAGACACACACGCCTGGTGGCGTGGAGGAAGGGGCACTAGGGGACTGGCCGAGGAGCGGACGCCCCAGGGCGGCTGTCGGGGCAGCCCTGGGCAGACGCTACTCCCGCTCGGCTCCGTCTTCTCCCCACGCAGCCTGGGTGCACTCCTGTGGAGGCCGCGGCATCAGAGGTGGTGTGGGACACACCAGGCCCAGGAAAGGCCCGGGGCCCCGCCTCCGAGCACACGACCCCTCCGTGTCTCCATCACTTCAGCCAGGACACGGATGGCGTCACGGCACATGGGCGAGGTGCACGTCCACTGCCGCACTCACCACCATTCACCCAAGAGGCGCACGTCCGATGAGCAGGAGAAACCCTGGGCCTTCGCTTTTGGTCTCAGCACACGCCCTCCCCGAGCCTCCGTTCTCTCATCAGTGAGACAGGGAAGCACTTCACAGAGCCGCCATGAGGACCAACGGGGTAAAATGATGCCAGGTGCTGCGCGCCCGGAGAGCACCGTGAGCAGCCTTGACCCCGCCCAACTGTGCACTGGCGTCCATCTCACCGCCGGAGGAAGGACCCGTTCTCTGTCTCTGATGCTCCCACTTGGCCCGCACAGGGCGGGAGCGCCGGCCCTGATGAGGGTCCCATGAGGAAGGAAGTGAGCGGCGTCCTGCCCGCTCTGCTAGGGAAGCTCGGGAATGGTGCGCCGCCCGCAGGGCCTGGGGATGGGGGGCATCTGGAGGCGGGGGTGGGGAGCACCGATGGGGACTGGACATGTGCTGGGCAGTCAGGGCATCGCCCCAGCCCTGCCCACAACCAAGCTACGGACTCCGTGAGCCCCAAGCCCCGGGCTCTCCTCCTGCTTCTGCCTGGCCTGTCTCGGGGGAGGATGGGGCGCCCGTTACCGAGTTTATAAAATGGAGGCCAGGTTCCTGGCTATTGTGTTTATGCTGGATTGAATGTGAAACTGGCAAATGACTTTGGGATTCATACCCCTCCCCCAACAAGATGAGTAACAGAAACTTAGAGGTCAAGGCCATTAGTCAGACTAGTTCCTGTTAAGAAACGATACTTGAAATGGGCAAATTCAAAGGTCTCAATTTTTAGTGGAGGGTGAGGTTCACGGTTACTGCTTAAGCAATGCACAGAACAGGAGCAATTGACCGTAGACGCTGAAGGCATCCTATTCACGTAAAAGGCTAAGACAATTTATTTCCATTTTACCTCAAAACCAACCAACACAGGAATTCTGCCCCTAATGTTTTCAAAAGAAATGCCATCAAAATAAATGAGGAAGCGCAGACAGGTGTCAACCCACTCCACCCCCTCACTTACAAACTTGCGTCCAACAGAACAACGTCCCAAGACACAAACAGCAAGCGCCGGTGCCCGCCACGCCGCCCGGGCTCCTCAGCAGAGCGTGGCTCCCAGCCGGCCAGTCCACGCATGCTGCCTCATTTAACTAGAAGTGGACCAAACAGAAGCTGCTCGGTCACACCAGCCACAGTTCCAGTGCCCAAAGCCATGTGGCCAAGATGCCCCCGAACTAGCGCAGACACAGAGCAGCGCCACGCGCAGGGCGCTCGGCTGGACAGCGCCACGACAAACCGCAACCCCCCACCCCCGACTTCCGAGAGAAGGAAGGGGAAGTCAGAGCAACAGGTGAGGGAGCTCCTCGAATGGCACAGAAACCCGCTGGACACCCCCGAGGCCACAGATCGCACCGCTCCTCCCTGAGGAAGGTGGACGCCATCCTTAGAGATGACCTGGCGTCCCTCTGGCGTCAGACCCAAACCAACCCACGGCCGAGCGCTGAGATGCCCAACAGACTAACGACCCACCACACACGTGGCTCAATCATCTTCTGAACCTTGAACTTACTATGGTGGGTCAGTGGAGCATAAAGCAGAAGGTCCTCAAAAAGAAAATCCTTTCTATGTTAAGCACACAGGTGGCTTGGAGCTACAACCCGTTAGCAAAATTAAACTCTGGTCGCGCTCCTGTGCCAAGGGCAACAGCACTTACTCGAAGAGCCACAAAGTCGTGTCTTCCTCCATGACTCCCAGCCACAGGAGACCAGGTCCCTGCTGCCCGTCTTGGGGTCGTCTCCGACCCCTCGCCACTCAGCACAAAAGTGCGTCCGAAAGGCTAGCTCCTCCCTGCCCTCCAGGGCTTAGTTCAACAGCCGCCCTTGGAGAACCGGCCCCACTTGCCCACCCTTGGGCGTCTGTCACCATGCTTTCATTCCCTTCCCAGGAGACTTACGATGACATCTGTGCACTGTCTGCCCCGCCAGGCTGAGCCCACAGAGGCAAGATCACGTCAGCTTCACTGGCTACCGTGCACCCTGAGCCCTGCACGGCAGCGGCCGACTCAGTACGTGTTTGCTGAATAAACACAGGCTGACGATGGTATCTTTTGCTCTCGGTGGGGGTGTGTGTGGGTGTGTGCGCGCACGCACGCACGCATTTTGCTTTGTATTACAGTGATATACACACGTGATTTTTAAAAGAGAGGCTTCAGATTCACAAGCGCCCTGTCCCCTCCCTTTTAAGGCATCCGCGTGCTAGCACTCTGTTTTCAGTTCTGGCAAACCCTCCTTGATACGAGTTTACCACTTGCAGCGGGCCGCCAGTGATCCTGGCTGCTCCTCTTCCCTCACTACTGGAAAGCAACCCTCTCTCTCAGAGGAATGCTGGCCAGCCTCTCACCTGCCAGCCAGCCAGAGCCCCCAGCGGCCCGCGCGTCACTCACAGGACTTACGCAGGGGCTGAGACTGCAGGCAGCCAGAGGACACCCTTCCTGCCACAGGGAAGGAGCCCAGCAGTGAACAAAGCAACACAGTACTCAGAGCTGAGACGAGGAAGTGCACGATGTGGCAACAGAGTTAAGCCACCAGAGCAGGCAGACCTCAGAGCAACAGCCCGCACCTCCCGGAGCTGAAACCAGTAAATTCCGTTTTTCATTCTAGTTAAGGATGGAGTCTTAACCCTGCAAAACTTCTGAACATGGCGACCACATCAGGGTTTCCAGACCCCAGCTCGTCAGAGATGAGACTTGCTGAGCTCACTCGCGCCGCCTCCCACCAGTAGGTTACACCTTTGTTCCACTCCGTTGCCGTCCTGGTCTCTGTGTTCTGCTCTGTTCAGCACTGCGAGACAGGAGCACCAGAGCCCCTTCTATCCCTCCGTCCCTCTGTCCACCTTCTACTTCTCTAATTAACTTGGCTGGTTAGTTTCCTTCTTACCTTTGCAAGAAATGAATCATTTTCAATGTCCTAAAACCATAATTAAGTAAACAAACTCTCAATGTTTTATTCATATGTTGACCCTAAAAATGAAAAGTCAAACAGCATTTACATTATGACTATATGAACAGTTTTCAACAAAGCCAAGGAGCCTGGAGGATGACATCTGTGGGTCCTTCATCATGACCCCAGAGCCAACTAAAGGAGAACCTTTTTAAAACCACAGGTTCCCATGAGATCAACTGTAAATCATGCCACATGTTGACTTGCTTCATATCTGGACCATGACTTCCTTGCTGTTTGCTTTGCTTGCTTCGAGAAGAAGGATACGCCGGGACACAGCGACGAGAGTCTTCCAGGTTGTCACTTACTTTACCCAGAGGAGGACACTCCCCTGGAACACACGCATTCCTCCTGGAAAACACTGCCTGTCCTAACTCGGAAGCTGGCTGCTTGCTGTGCTCACTGCATGGCTGGCATCTTTTAACTTCTCTCTTGAATTTCTGTCTTTTTTAATCCACAATCATATATAAAGGTGACAAAAGCACGTTGGCCTCCTCAATCTCTAAAATAAGAGGAAGCCCTCAGGTTTGCTGTTTCCACCAGCAGAAGGTTTTCAAGCGGACACCGAGCAGTGCAGAGCTCGCTGGTAGCACGGACCCTACCCACCCCCCACCCCCGAGTGTGCGACGCCGGGCAGGGCACAGCGCCACTCTAGCAAGACTGGCCGAGGCACCTACCGGACTTGAAGATGTGGATCAGACACATGAGCAGGGTGCCTAGCTCCTGGCAATAAAAAGTATGCTGCTGTTCACTCATTTCCACTCTTAGCTGCTTTGTGACAATGTCCTCTAAAAGGATGCCAACCAGCTGCAGTAGGAACCTTCAAAGAAAGGGAGAAGGGTGACACTGAATTAGGTGGCTGTTACGGAGCACTTCTGGGAGGCGCATTCATAAAAACCACACACACACAGCAGATGCAGACAGAGTGACGATGCAAGTGAAGTGAAACGAGCCGAGTGCAGTGTCGAACTCCCTCCCTCCGGACGGAGTCGCTCTGCCCTGCGCATCGCTCTCCTCCTCTGAGACAGCAGCCATCACGCCACCTTTGAAGGACCTTCAGGAGGGTAAAACGAGGCGGGTGTGGTGTTTCTTTCAAGCTTTGTAAACCGTAAAGCAAGCTGATCACCTGCCGCAAAAATTTCATGTGCCGTTCACTTAGCCACCTGCTGGTATGTATCAGAGGGAGCCACGGGCCGCCCTGCAGAGCCCCAGGCAGAGGGCACCATGCAGGCTCACCAGACTGACCTGCACACACCCGCCGACACCTCCACAATGACCAGCCCAGGGCGGCCGGAGTGGTGAACACGGCAGGAAGGAGCAGTCCTCAGAACTGTGCCCAGGACACACTCTTAGGGCTCTAACTCTGAATCCAGCAAAGGTGGATCAACACTGTCTACACAACAAGTACACACAGGGCCCGAGTCGTGACTGTTGCCCTCGGGGACTTCCCATCAGCTATGGGGACAAACACGACTTGATGCCACGAGTAAGCCGGGGAGCACAGTGGGAGCGGGCTGGCCCGGCTGGGAGAAGGGCTCCATTACTGACCGTGTTTGGGACGGCCAGCACACGGAGGGCACAAAAGACTGACTGACTTTCAGTGGGTTTCATCGGTTTTCAAACTCTCTGCAGGTAATGCATGCCCTTATCGCCTGCACCCAGGGCGGGCCACCTCCACGCCTACTGCCGTGGTGGCCGCTGTGGTGAGGGCACGGTGACCGCCCTGCAGTCTTTCACAAGGCTGAGGGGACAGGACAGAGCATGCAGAGAGGCGTGACCACGGCCCCTGGCGAGGCGGGCTGGCAGGGAGAACACACAGACCTCTCTGCCCAAGGAGCAGAGCTGAAGCAAGACTTCCCAACCCCTGTACGCCGGCGACGTCCTGCAGGCCGGGGACTGGCTCGTGGCCCAGACGCACAGCCTACCTGGAAAACGTTTCCTCTGGCGGACTCTTCGCTTGTCCTCCCTCACTGTGCTCCTCTGGCACCGAGCCACCGCCCCCACCTCTCAGCCTGCTGACGACGGGGCAGGAGAGCAGACACGGAGGGAAGGCGAGCTCCTGAACACGGGCAAGAACGATGTCCTCAGTGGACTGGGAGACCAGCACCCTTAGGATGGCCAGGATTCCCGACACCCACAGCTGAACGGTGCTCACAGAGGCCTCGAAGAAGGAAAATAAGTAAGTTACAGCTAAAGAAAAAGAGGATGAAATTTTCCACTACTGTCAATTTCATTTATGAAATTTGCCCTCATTTTACCCATTCTACCGACAAATCTCTGTATCACTGGTCCTCACAGTGTGGTCCCAGACAAGCAGCATCAATACCACCTGGGGACGTGTTTAAAATGCAACTTCTCAACCCCACCCGGGCCCCAGCAGAACCCCCAGGTGCTCCCGTGAACCACCGCATGCGCAGAGGGGAGTCCAAGGTGCCATCGGGAGGCAAGACACTCACCAGTGTGTCTGGAGTGACAAACATGCTCCGCAGCAGCATGTCCACAGGGCGGAGGGAGGACGGGGCCAGAATCTCAAACAAAGTGTTTAACACTCCAAGGGCTTCGTGAGAGTCAACGTGCATCTGTTGCAAATAAACATCACGATGTTTTCCAGATGCCAACAAAACACCAGCTCACGTTTTACAGCTCAAGGTCAGATGACCTTGACTGTCCCATCATTACCACCCTCAAATTTAAACGCATTTAACTTCAGTAGTGACCCAGGCAAACACCCTTCAGAACAGCACTGCAGCAGCTCTAGTTTTTCCATATGGAAATCTTCTCGTTGAGACTTTTATTATATAAACTACGCATGCTTGCTGTGAAGGCTACAAATACATAAAAGCATGAAAAACACCACCTAGAAATGCACCAGCCTGACACGATCCCCATCCACACCCTGGGAGCCAGCCCTCGTGCCACTCTCCACGCGCATCACTCACCCAGACGGGGTAGCACGCACGCTGCTTTCTTCTTTACTTGCTTTACCTGCACCCCATCCCTACCCTGCTTTTTGGCAACAAATCAGCAAACTGGTGTATTTCTGTGTCGTAACTTTCCCCACATTCCTACAACCGCATGTCCAGACGCACGCAGAGAGGCTTTTAAGTTGTTCTGAAAGGTCATACTCTAAATGCCTCTGCTTTTCTCCCTTAAAATACAATGGATTGACACGACATCATAAAATGACTGTAACTCAGTAAAAAAAAGTTAAAAAAATACAATGGAGAACTCCCAAAGCAACAGGTTTTAAAACCTGACATAATCTTTAAAGGATGCAAAATATTTCAACTAAGTCTCTACCACAGTGTATTCAACCACCCCCTGCTGAAGGCTTCTGTCACTGCTGATGAGGGTGCAGACACAGTACGCATCCCTGCACGGGGTGTGACTCTCTCAAGGTGCAGGTCGAAACCCGCATGGTGGGGAGACACCCCGGAGCTGCTGCCCACCAGCTCCCTCTGCCTGGGTTCTCTGGAGGAACCGTCGTGCCCACAGCCAGGGCCCCCGCCGATCATGCAGCCGATCCCAACTTTGGTCTGCATCTGCGCAGGGACACCCTGATGGCAATTTCGTCCACCCTGCACCGCCCTCTTACCCTCTGCTCTTGGCCGACCCCAGCCCTAGTCCCTCCCCACTGGCCCTTCTACCACCCCTCCCTTGTCCTCTAGCCGCCACCCCGCATCTGTCCCCTTTCCCACTCCTCCCTCCCAGCCTCTCACCAACACACACCGGCCGGGCTTCTGCCCCCTCCACTCCCCCAAAACTGCCCCCCAGTGACCTCCATGGTACCGAGCCAGGCTTGTGCCTAGGGCCCATTTACCCCAGTGGATCCATGCCTCCTCTGTGAAGCGCCCTTCCTCCTGGGCGTGAAGAACACTGCTGGCTCTTCCGTCCCTTCCTCGTCTCCTTTGTGAGCCCCTCACCTCCCAGGGCTCGGCTCTGTCTCCACACCCAGACTCACACTCCCAAAGCCCAAGTCAGCCCCCCCAGGGTGCCCGCCGGGCATTGTTTCTGGCGTGTCCCCTGCTTAGCTACCTGGCAGGCATGTGCCAAGTGTTTCACAGACCATCTTCCACTCAACCTCACGGCGGCAGAAATCCAGCTGGGCATTTACTATGCATGCCAGCCTTCAACCTCCACCTTCCTCAAACTGCGTCCCCGGTTAAGAGAGACTAGGATAAAGCTTTGCAGAGCACCACCCTAAAAATATGCACCTACAGGCCTGGAATCCAGGGCTACATGAAAACACCAAACCAACCAGCTCACTAAACCTGTCATCTTTCAGCCCCCACCCTGCACGAGTGGCCTCAGGGTAACAGGTCTGCTGTGGAGCCAGACCAGGACTGGAGCCACAGAGACGGTAAGCACTAACGCAGGTGCCTGCGTGATGCCATCCAATGCCAAGAGCACGAACCCCGTGTGACCCAGAGCTCTGGTTCCCTGGCCGGGTGAGCAAGGTGCGCACACAGGTGTCTGCTGCCTGCATCCGACGTGCGTGAGGCCCGGAGCTGTGCCGGCAGCCAGTCAGGCCTCCCGGAGGCACCGTCCAGGTGGTGCTGCAGCCAGTGCAGAGTGCCCTGTCCTCAACGCCACGCGGCAGGTGTGGGTCAGAGAGCCTGCGACACCCGGGCTCCGGCTCCTTCCACCGCACTTGCGGGGACCACCCACCGCGTCGTTCGACTACAGAAGTTCTGATCCGACGACGGGAACTGCTAAACCACTTTCTAAGTGAGCAGGGGACACACACTTACAGATGGAATGAAAAACGTCTAACTGACCAGGATGAGGGCCGCAGTGTGTCAGCGGGGCAGGACACAGCGCTGGAGCCCCTTCCCAGAGGGTGCCCTGGGGACCAAGGGACCATCTTGAGCCCGGACTCCACACTTGCCAAGTGGAGACACCAGCAACCTAGGAGGGTCGCAGGGCATCAGCGCAGCAGACCCCATGGCCTTAGACGGCAGTGGTAACTACCAACACACGGGTCACCCTGACCGGCAGAAGAGCCAGTCACGAGCACCCTCGTCTGGGGGTCTCCACCCGCTTACAGGGCTCTCAGCGGCGCTACGGAGAGCAAGAGGGGCGACAGACCTGTTGCTTGGCCAGCATCGGGAGGATGACATCGGCCACCTGCCGGGACAGCCGCTTCCACTTGTCTTCGCTCTCCTTGTGGCACTGCTGCAGGACCAGGACGAACATCTCCAGCACCTGCACGAGGGATGGCACAGGTGGAGCGCCCCAAGGGGGCTGACGAGCCCGACGCAGCCCTCACCCCGACACGCGTGAGGGGGCTGCGGAAGACGACCCTGGGGCCCCTGCCGTCCCTACAGCCAGCGGAAAGGCACAGAAAGAAAACCAGACTCATCTCAACCTTTGGCACAACACAAGCACAGCCTGGGCCACGCTGTTCTGCAGCTGCCCTCTGCCTCTGTGTGCATTAGCTTCAGTCCCGTGCGCTCTGCGGGGGTGACCCCTCCTGAGGACAGCCTGCTCCCAAGGACGCTGGCGCGGCTCAGCACACGCCTGCGAGTGGTCACTTCTAAACAGAGACCCCTAAGAGACTGTGTTTGTAAACATGGTCTCCCTGGCGCACAGCCACTGTGCACACGCCGCCAGGACTGCTTCCGTGACAGCAGCTGCCACGTCGCCTGGAAGAGCTGAAATGTTTACCACCTGTTTGCTCACAGAAAAGTCTCGACCCAGTCTAAACGTACGAGCGATACAGACAGTGCCCACCGCCCTCCCTCGGCTGCCTCCCCTGCCCAGGGCCTGCCAGCACTTCTGCTCCAGGAACCACGCTGTGTCCGACTCTCCTCGTCAGGACCAGCGCGCCCCGTTCTCACAAACCAGGCCGGGAACTCCAGGAACACGTGGCAAAGCCGCCCTCTGGGCCTCCCACCAACCTGCGTGTCTGCCGCAGGTCACGTGCTAGTTCTCAAATCTCTGGTCGCTGCACTTTTTATGTCATCATGGGATTCAATTAAACACTAAGCATTTAATTCAATATGACCAAATTAACCAGACTGAGAACACACAAGAAAAGTGTTTCGATGAGAAAAGTTTATGACTTTATAAAGATTCAAAGACAAATAGCTGATTTACAAAAATAAGTGAGAAAGAGACAACTATACCAGCTAAAAAAACGGGAGGGGGGGAGGCTGTCATTAAAAAAACCTGACTTCTGCAGTTAGACTGCTTCAAACTATCTGAAATTCCTGCTCCTCCTTTAGAAAAACAAAGCCAGAAATCAGCCCAAAGAACAAAACCGTGGCGTCAACACAGTGGTACAAAGGTACAGACAAAGCCTCTGGATTATTTCCGGTTTGAGATTTTTAAAGCCATTCTTTAGAATGCTACCTCCGTGATCATCACTGTCGGCTAACTGATTTCTGATCCTCGTTTGGAAAAGAAGGCTCCACCATGTTTGCTACCTTGAATGGCCTTGGCCAGGCTGCACTGCCTTAGAGACAGAGCCCTACCAAGCCTCCCGTCGCCTCACGCCCCTCCCACCCGAGAGCCCAGGGCTGGCCCAAAGCAATGCCCACTGACCAGCAGACGGCCGGCCACGTGGCACTTCCTTCCATCCCTGCACGGACAGCGAGGACCAGTGGCCGCCCACACCCTCTCACCTGATGGTACTGGATGAGTCTCAGTAACATGGACACCACCACCTCTTTCTGGGTTTCAAGCTCTTTTCCTGCATCAGCTTTGTTGGTTCCTCTTAAAACGAAGAGGTCGTGGACTATGGGCCGCAGGGCCGGGATGGCTGTGGGCACAGAAGGGCACGGGGTCAGGGGCAGGCACACTGGAAGCCAGCGCCAGCACCTCCAAACTGCTCAGGAACTGAGGACGCCCTAGTCCACGCTTGGCTCTGTGCTACGGGGTAAGTCCGGGTTGTGAACGATGAGTCGTGACATTATCTGTATACCATCATGGAAGGCCGGGGGTTTTCTCTGACACTCGATAATGTTGAAAACAAACCAGCAAACCTGGGGTTTCTGCGAAATAATGCTACTTCTGATACAAAGAGGCACAATTCAAAAGTCAAATTCAAAATAATAATACCTTCCAACTAACTAAAACAGCAACGTTCTAGTCTCATGCATAATCTGTTTAAAGATTCACCCGAAAAAACAGGTGTTTTGTCAATAGAAAACATTTAGTCAAAGTATTAAGATTTCTATGCTATTCTAAGTAATTAAACTCACTCTTCTCATCAGAGGGTTTTCCCAAGTCTTGTTTTTATCCAAAACAATGAAGTAAATTTGTTAGTCTAACAACAGCATACGAATAAACCATCTAAGAAATGCCTCACTGAAAGGGTGCAGCGCAGCCGTGTCACCAGGGTTAGTGAGAGGAGCACTCTCTCACCCTAGTGACCCCCGGCCCACCCCCATGCTCGCTGCCTTGTCCACAGGTGCCCGAGCTTCCCAGCAGAAAGCAGTGGGTTTGGCTGGCCATCAACTTTCTATCCAAAGACCCTCTGATCTGGGAAACCTTAGTCATCCCTCTACTTGACATTTGTGTTTCAACTCTATCCAGTGACCCCAAGGCCGTATGTGCAGCCACATGCCCATCTGCTGAGGTGTTAATGTGAGCCCCAGCACGGCTGTGACAGAGTGGAGCAGGTGTGGAGTGCGCGAGGGTCCAAGCCCCTGCCCCAACACACAGCTCGGTGGTCACCCCACAGCAGTGCGCAGAAAGGGGAACCGAAAGGCCGCCTACAGGGGTCTTAGGAGGTGCCCCGACCATAGTTCAAAAGCCTACAGATTCCTGACAACGGATCTGGGAGCAATCAGTGGGAAAATGCTGAAAGGGCAGCTGAAAAAGTTCAAAGAAATAGTCACAGATCATTCTTAAAACCACACCGCCTCATTCCACAGGCTGGAAGGAGGCTGCCCTGAACAGCTGGCTGGCCATCTTCTGTGGCCTCATTTAAGCTCCGACACAACAATCAGGCAGAGCAGAAGGCCCCGAATCAAGGCCAAACTATATCTTCCAACACCCCTGGGTAATAAATCCAGCGTCCTGACACGAGTTGGACTTTAAAGTGCTTTGTTGCATATGGACAGACCAGATAACCTGCGTCAGACTCTACCTGCGCCTCATGCTATCCCCTCGCTGCTTTTACCTCAGTGGGGCACAGCTCCTGAGAGGCCAGTGCACTCTCTCCCTTTCTAAACGTCTCCCCCCGGAGGGCACACGTGCACGCCCCCTGGCACGGCCTGTAGAGCACGGGGCGGTGGGCGGGTGGCAGTGGGAAGCGGGTGCGGGGGCAGGGACGCTGGCGCCCTCTGGGGGGCCTGCCCGTTACCGTGCGTCGCAGCCTTCCTGCCACTGGCCATGACGCCGTCACAGAGCTGGATGATCTTAGGGATCCCAATGATCTGCTTTGAGTGATAGCGCTCGTAAGACAGCAACACCAGGAAGAAGAAGATGTTTGGAATAATCGCCTCTGATTCCCTGGAAACAAAAACATCCATTTAGACACTTCCGTTTAAAAGAGAAGATAATCAATACAAACAGCATAAAACTCCTCACGGTGCAAAGCCAAGAGAGCGTGCGTGAGAAACGGGGCGTGCAGAGGTGGGGGG